CCTGTTGAACCCACCAAATATTTTAGTGTTGTCATTTTTTATTGGTGAAAGAGCAAGGCCAACAACGATTTTAATGTTATTCTCTTTTATCTTATTCAGCTCCCTCAACAAAAATACATTCTCATCGCTTAAGGTAATCACCACCTCACTCCCCTAAACTTTAGACTCAATATTAGCCTGAGACATCCGGATCCAACTCAGTGAGCTCTCCTTTATTCCAAGTCCTCGTGGCCCATAAATGTAACCTCTAGGACAATGTTACAAAGAGTGGTATCTTTATGCCACCTGCATTCTGTCACCAAACATGTAAGTTAAAAATTCAGATTCCAGCCGGGCGCGGTGGCTCACACCTGTAATCCCAGCACTTTGGGAGGCCGAGGCGGGTGGATCACGAGGTCAAGAGATCGAGACCATCCTGGTCAACATGGTGAAACCCCATCTCTACTAAAAATACAAAACATTAGCTGGGCATGCTGGCGCGTGCCTGTAATCCCAGCTACTCAGGAGGCTGAGGCAGGAGAATTGCCTGAACCTGGGAGGTGGAGGTTGTGGTGAGCCGAGATCACACCATTGCACTCCAGCCTGGGTAACAAGAGTGAAAATCTGGCTCTGGAAAAAAAAAAAAAAAAATTCAGATTCCAGGAGCTGACCCTACACCTCCCTAATTAGAATCTCAGAGGGTGGGCCCTGGGAATCTGCATAATTCATAAGCTTCTCAGAGCTGTGGTATACAGGAAACCATGAGAATCTTTGTTTTGGAAACTTCAGAGAGCTTGGCTGGGGGCTACCCCAGGATTTGGTGGAGTCCCTGAATCTCCTATCAGCTCTGATACTGACAACACTTCAAATATCATAGAAGGCAAGCATTGAAATGTGTTTATAGTTCTCAGAAATATTAATAAAACCTTTTGGGATTCAGAGTTAAAGAGAAGACAGGAACTGAATTTGGCCCCTGATCTGTTATCATTTGGCAGTAAGGTACATATTCAACATTAGGATAATCCCATGTAAGCCCTGAATCTGACCTTCTTTCATCCTTCACACTGACCACTTTGTCCATAAACACAGGATTAAATGAGGAGCCAAAATTCACCAAGAACCTGCTAGGTGCCGGGCACAGTGCTGGGTACCTTCCACACAAACCTCTCATTTAACCAGCCACCTACGAAATTGATGTGATTTACCACCATCTGGTGGAAGAGGACATTCAGGGTAGAAGAGTGTAAATAAATAATCAGATAGGTAAGTTAGGTAGTTACGTAAGCTGCCAGACTGGTAAACTGCTAGTTTCAAATCCCAGCTCCAATTGGGATCTGCATGTTGCATGACCCTTGGGGAAACTCAACCTCTGAGTCTCACGGTACTGTTGATCAAATGGAAAACGTCGTCTCACAAGGTTCTGAGGACTCGAGGTGGACCCGGGCACACAGAGCACCCGGACGGAGCCTGGCCTTCATCAGCGGTGGTGAGTCTCCACTCTCCTCCCCACTCCCTTCCAGCCCCTGCATTCAAAACTTTTTTTTTTTTTAATTTAGGAGCCTCTTTGCTTAGAAACCTGAAAAGGCTTCTGTTACTTTATTTATTTAGTTTTTTGAGATGGAGTCTTGCTTTGTTGCTCAGGCTGGAGTGCAGTGGCGCAATCTCAGCTCACCACAACCTCCGCCTCCCAGGTTCAAATGATTCTCCTGCCTCAGCCTCCCGAGTAGTTGGGATTACAGGCACCCTCCACCATGCCTGGCTAATTTTTGTATTTTTAGTAGAGATGGGATATCACTTTGTTGGCCAGGCTGGTCTCAAACTCCTGACATCGTGATCCGCTCGCCTCGGCCTGCGGAGTGCTGGGATTATAGACGTGAGCTACTGCACCCGGCCAATACTTTATTTATTTATTTTTCAACTTCTGCAAGCACAGAACAGGCTTCTGCTCCTTTAAATAACTTTGACAGGTGCCAAGGAACACTGTTAACTCTTTGTTAATTCTGTAGGTTCACATTTAGGAAAAAGAAATTGTCAGCCTCTGACTTCTTTCCAGCTTACAAAAAGGTGTGGTGTTGGCAGCCTGGGAAAAGCAGCTCCCTCCCGTGAGTCATGCTTCCAGCCAGTGAAGAACAGGAAATAGTCATATCGCTATTGCCAACAACCACCGCGAGTCTCTTCCACCGCAGGGCTTTCCCAGGTGACGTCAATGAGCCGAGCGCAGAGCATCACCCTCACCAGATGGCCCTGGGAGACTCTCAGCTGCCTTGCCAAGTTTAGCTTCTCAAGTTCCCCAGAACCAGCATGGCAAGGATCACCCCGCCAGAAAAGAAAAGGATTTCTCTGATCAGGATCAAGCCGTGTCATGATTTTAGCTGCAGGTGGTGAGTCTCAGTGACTGTACTATAAATGGTTTTGGTTCACTGCTATTTTTTTCTCTGTGTATTTACTCTCAGGGGCAAAGGGATAGCATTTATCACAACATTATGATTCACTCTACTAGATTGGCTATGATGTCATTTCATCTTTCAGTGCTAGAGCTAAGGTCAAAAGGATGTCAGAGTTAGACACCCGGAGTCAGAGGCATGCTCTACACCTCCTGGTAATTCATCCTGGAATTACCAGGATGGCAGGATTACCAGTGGCAGCTAAACACAGCTGCAGTGATGACTGCTGATGCCAGTCAATTGACTGGTCCCCTTTTAATAATCCATGATCCGCACAGACATGAATCTAAACGTTTTTTTCAAACCTACCTTTTTCTTACTAGTTTTCTTACATATTTTGGAGTAACACGTCCCCTGGTTATGATACCCAGTGTGTGAAACATTAATTGCATTTATTGGTCCTAAATACATTCCTAAGTCTAGGATTTGGGGACTCTGTGCACAAATCCACTTTGTTTCTGCTCATGTTGTTCATGACTTTAGGGATTCTGCTTACATTTCCCCCCAAAGCCTTGGTCTTTCTAAACAGAAATCTGACCAGCCTCTGTTCCCACTCTGCCTCCTCCACCACCTTGACTGTTAACACATATGCTGTTGTGGGGAAGCTTTTCATTAAACACACAAACAAATCAACAATAAGGAAGAAAACAGCTGAAGCACAGAAGGACTATTTTAGCCTGGACTTACACGTGTTGAACAGTAATCACACTATCTGGTGAGCTGTCTAAATACAGAGGGAGACAGCATCTTTACAGGATGGGTTTGGGGTCTGAATTAAATAAATGACTTGGCAGAAGAAGGGAGAACCCAACAGCTGGGTGACTAGGGTTCTACTCAACACTTCCCACGCCTGCAGGCCTCTGATTCTATCCCCACCGCTGCTCCTATGCGTCTGTTTTTTCCTTTGACAACAAATAATAGCGCTTGTTTACTATTCACAATTATGGAAATACATCTCTCTAATTTGGATTCCTCTATATGAGAACTTCCATATACTTAAATTCCTGTGGCATCTCCACAGTGTGCAGGTCATCAATATGTTGTCTGAAGATGGGCGAAGTAGGTCATCGAGACAGGGAGTGAGTTCAAATCACACCGTGAGTTAACGGCAACAGCATATGAGTTCAGGGGCCAAATATGGGCTCTGATAGCTCGACACAGTCCTCACCTTCAGAGATGGCATTCTCCCAGAAGTCCAGGGTGCAGAAATGGATAGGCTGATGTCCACTTTTGAAGAGGACCACAATGGAACCCTTTTAATAGTACTTAATGGTTCCACAGCTTCCTGGGTGTTAAATCAGGTGAATCTATTTTTAAAAGTTGCTATTTACTTTTTTAGGTGGCTGATCAAGACAGTATGAAATTTCATACAGTTTCCTAACTTGAGAAAACATGACGACGCGATTCCTCCAGCCACGAGGGATTTGTGGACAGCAGTGGCCACGTCCTAATCTGCCCTGAATACGGGATGACTAAACAAATTGGCAGAAGGACGCAGCTTTCTCTCTAAGAAAAGTCTGCTGAGAACTCTCATTCTCACGCTGTTTCTACCTCCAAGAAGAAAAGCCTAAAACTTGCTTTCTTCCGGACTCTCTGATGGTCAGTGGAGTTCCTTCCCATAGGGTTCTATATTCAGATACTTTGGGGATTGATGACGGATCAGAAATGTGGCTGAAGTTCATTTGAGTCCATGGCCTCTGGTTTCAGAACCATTCGGCCAGTCAAATGTTTCATTTTCAGTGAGGCTGGGGAAAGGAAGCCCTTTCGAGGGTTGCTATGCAGCAGCATATACTCACAATTCACAATTAATCACACTCCAGTTTCTAAACATATGTTACTTTAAAATTTATGAGTGCTTAGCGATTTTAAATTTTTCATTTCATGCTCAAAGTATTCTCAGGAGGTAGCTGCTGTCATACCCATTTGCACAAGCAAGAAGCTGAGGCTTAAAGAGGCCATGTCACTTAAACCCAGACCTGCCTGACTCCAAAGCGTATGCTTTTTTTTAAAACTTCTATTTCGAAATAATTATATTAAGTCACATGAGGTTGCAAAGAAATGGAAGGTTTCATGTTCCCTTTCCCCAACCTCCTCCGATGTTGCATCTAAGAAACTGACATTGGCACAATCCAAAGAGCCCACTCAGAGTTCACCAGTTATCCACACACTTGTGTGTGTGTGCACGTGTGTGTGCAGCTCTATGCAATTTTGTCATGCTCTTTTTATACATGAACCATTCACTGTTCTACCAATGTTAAATATGAAGTCAGATTACAGAAATGAATAAAATGATTTTTCCTTTACTACAACAGTACCTACCGATAATTACGTACATGACCAAATAGCTTTCATTTCTAGTTGCCATTAAGAAGAAAAAAAAAGGAAGAAAAGAAACAAAACCTACAAACCCCAGTTCTTAAAAGTATTAGTCTGTGCTATGTGCCTTTATGGGCTCACCTTCTGGAGGTGACAATAGATACACATTAAGGAAACACAACTTGTTGATTTATTGATAATTATGACAGCAATCCTCTCTCTTGTCAGAAAGTTCTATAAGCAAAATAAAGATGATTTTACCTTGACTTCAGAGTTAGCCTCACGGTCTTCCTTCCCCCAGGAGTTCAACTCAGTCTCGGCATGAGGCTCCTCAGACGTTCTCAGGGGAGGAGCTAGAGGGACTAAGAAAACCTGCCATTAATTCGGTTATTCGACTTATAAATTATAACTCACTTTGTCTGACTTGGACAACTAGCTGGACCATGTCAACGTGGTTAACTAAAACAAGCCTGGCTGAGCTGCTGCGTTCGTTTCCTAGGTGGTGGATGAAACTGGAGGTGAAGGAGAGACCCAGAAAAGAAACAGAATCCTTGACTGCAGGGACTTGACATTTCAGCAGAAGAGAAAAAAGTCACACCCACCACCACATGAAACATCAAACTACGACAAATCAGCAAATATAGCAATGTGGTAGTAAAGAGCAGTAGAGTTTTCATCATTCCCATTTTTTTTTTTTTTTTTTTTTGGGACGGAGTTTCGCTCTTGTTACCCAGGCTGGAGTGCAATGGCGCGATCTCGGCTCACCGCAACCTCCGCCTCCTGGGTTCAGGCAATTCTCCTGTCTCAGCCTCCTGAGTAGCTGGGATTACAGGCACGCGCCACCATGCCCAGCTAATTTTTTGTATTTTTAGGAGAGACGGGGTTTCACCGTGTTGACCAGGATGGTCTCGATCTCTTGACCTCGTGATCCACCCGCCTCGGCCTCCCAAAGTGCTGGGATTACAGGCTTGAGCCACCGTGCCCGGCCCCCCATCATTCCCATTTTTAAGGCCCAGCTAAGAGGCTACTTTCAGCCAGGCTTGGTGGCTCACACCTATAATCCCAGCACTTTGGGAAGCTGAGGCAGGTCTGGAGTTCGAGACCAGCCTGGATAACATGGTGAAACCCCATCTCTACGAAAAATACAAAAATTAGCTGGGCACAGTGGCACGTTCCTGTAATCCCACCTACTTGGGAGGCTGAGGCAGGAGAATGGCTTGAACCTGGGAGGCGGAGGTTGCAGTGAGCCGATATCACACCACCGCACTCCAGCCTGGGCGACAGGGCAAGACTACATCTCAAACAAACACAAAAAAGGGCACTCTCCTCATGAAGTCCTCCCCACGACACACGTTATGGATTCTCTTATGTACCGCTGCTTTGGCACACATCACATGTACAGCATAATTTGGCACTTGATGTTGTTCTTGGTTTGAAGCCTCAATTCTAGGTACCACATTGTATTGAAGATATTTTCCATTATAAAGGTAATAATTTGTGCTTAATACAGAAAATCTGAAAAACACTAAAATCTTAGCACTGAAGCATAATCACTTGGTATATTTCCTTACAGTCTTCTTTCAAATGCTCTCCCTCTGTTTACACACACAATCATACTATGATCATATTGTAAGGGGATGGCCATGCCTGCCCTAGCCAGAAGCTGTTGCAGCTAATCTGACGGCATCACTGTTGGATTCCATTACTGATGGACCCATGCTTACCAGGGGATGAGAGGACTATGAGTGAGAATCCGTTGGCTGAGTCGGGAAGAGATTGGGCTGTCTTGCCCTTGCTCCTTTCTCTCGGTCACTCTATCTCCCTTCTCCCCTCCCCACGAGGGCCCAGACACCTGGGAAACATCTTTTCTCAAGCTCTATGGCCATTTGGTAGTAAAAGTGGGACTTGAAGAGGAAAAGCCCTTGTTAGGCCTCGAGGTTTCTTAGCCTACCTTACCGGCGTTGCCAAGCATTGAGGGTGACAGCCACAAGGCTAACAGATAAGCGGTACTTTGAGTTCTTATTTGTTACTGTCACCACCCTTGCATATGCTGTTCCCTTGGGAAACTCACAGGAGACGTGGTTAATCCCAGGATTTGAGGATTTCTAGGTCCCAAGGCCAAAATGCCACTCATCGAATGCCATCAAGATATCACCCTGGTTGTTAGATACGGTAGACTTGCTGGAGGTTGACCACCTGAACTCCAGAGGCCACTCCCAACCCTCGCATTCTGTGAGCCAACTGGAAGCAGCTTGGGCTTTCTATGGGTTTTTCATAGATGTTATGTTGAAAATTGTAGAAAAGGTCAAGCGCGGTGGCTCACACCTGTAATCCCAGCACTTTGGGAGGCCAAGGCAGGTGGATCCCCTGAGGTCAGGAGTTCAACACCAACCTGGCCAACATGGTGAAACCCCGTCTCTACCAAAAATACAGAAATTAGCTGGGTGTGGTGGCGGGTGCCTGTAATTCCAGCTACTTGGGAGACTGAGGCAGCAGAATTGCTTGAACTAGGGAGCTGGAGGTTGCAAGGAGCTCAGATCAAGCCACTGGACTCCTGCCTGGGCAAAAAGAGCAAAATTTCATCTAAAAAAAAAATTGTAGAAAAGTACACTGTCACCCCAGGTTATATATATGACCATGAATGCTGCTGTGTCATAATAGTCAATCCTTTGGGCTCCTCCCTCTCTGTGGAACCCCTGTAAAGTACGTGATTCCAGGCATAGTAACTTGATGTTAGAAATGCATGCACTATGGCCAGTGATGCCATGACTGAGAAGCGCCTGCCCTTGACACTGTAAGTAGAGTGAAGGAGTGAAAGGCAGGGGCATACACGCCACACGGCCAGGGCTCAAACCTTGTTCTTCCATGCACGAGCCACACATGACTACAGTCAGCTCTGTGCCTTACCCTCTTCATCTGGAAAGCAGGGAAAAATGAGAAATCCCACAGTAAAGGGCTGTTACGAGGCTTGAATGAGTTAAGATGTGAAGAATGTAGATCATATACAATGCATAACACATTTTAGCTGTTATTATAGCCACATGGCATTAAAAAGTTTTTTCACATTCCTTATGAACGTCAGAAGTGTTAAACGTTGTAGCCAAGGCATCCAGCTAACAAGCGTCGGAGCTGACATTCCAGCTCCTAAGCCCCTCCGCCCATCTTCTTTCTTTACACTGTGAAATACCATTGCTTATCTTGGCACAGACTCAGTTACTAAGGAATCAGATAGAAATGTCTGAAAATTCTTTTAGTGGCTTGCTGGAGTCCACACTCAGTAGATACTCGCCAAACACAAAGGCGCAGGATTGTTCTGCTGAACAACCTAGTTGTCCGACCTAGGTCACTGACAACCCGTTCAGACTTGACGAAGACCTGTTTATTCCGGGACGGAGTATTATCTGTTATGAAATCTTGTATTTGAAAAGCTGAGAAACGAATCTATAATCCCTGCTGTATTTACTTGAAACAAACATATGTGCCTTGAAACAATGACCCAGGCCAAGTCACAGCCGTGAACATAGTTGAGCTTCAGGAGAGGTGAAAGGTCAAGAGAACCAAGCTCTGTTTCCAACCACCTAAGGAGGATGTCTCTGTGCATGTTTGGGTGTGTCTGTGGTATATGTATGCACGTGTGTTACAGTGTGTATGTGGATGTGTGTGTGTGTTTGCAGACAAAAGTTCAGGAAAGAAATACACTAAATGTTATCAAGGCTTCATTCTAAGGATTCTAGGATACATGACAGAAGACAAGGAACTGTAAATTGTACTCAGTGGAGAACTACCAAAACACCCCAGAATTTCCCGATAAGCAAAATATGAAAGAATGTATTGCTAACAGGCCAGGCATGGTGGCTCACAACTGTAATTCTAGCTCATAGGGAGGCAGAGGCGGGAGAGTAGCTTGAGCCCAGGAGTTCAAAACCTGCCTGGGCAATATAGCGAGACACCGTTGTCCACAAAAAGGAAAAAATAAAGACAAAAAAAATTTGTTACTAATAGACTCCCTGACAATAAATACTAACAGAAGCTCTTTATTCTGAAGAGAAATGACACAAGGTATTAACTCAAATCTATAATAATGAAGAACCCCAGAAATGGTGAATAAGGGGGTATGTACACACACACACACACACACACACACACACACACACACGCACACGTATTTCTCTTAATTTGATAAATGACTATTTAAAGCAAAAATTGTAATGCCATAGTGGGGGTTTAACATATATAGATGTAAGACTTATGATAAGAGTAGCACAGAGGATGGATGGAGAGCGTACGGAAGTACAACGTTGTAAATTTCCTGTATTTTGCATAGAGTGGTATGAAACTATCTCAACAGATCATGACGAGTTCAGGATGCAGATGATAATCCCTAGTCCGGGTGAAAAACAATGCAAAGAGATATGACAACAAGCCAACAGAGAAATTAAAACAAAATGTTAAAAAATATTTACTGCCGGGCGTGGTGACTCACGCCTGTAATCCCAGCACTTTGGGAGGCCGAGGCGGGGGGATCACGAGGTCAAGAGGTCGAGACCATCCTGGTCAACATGGTGAAACCCCATCTCTACTAAAAATACAAAACATTAGCTGGGCATGGTGGCGCGTGTCTGTAACCCCAGCTACTTGGGAGGCTGAGGCAGGAGAATTGCCTGAACCCGGGAGGCCGAGGTTGCGGTGAGCCGAGATCATGCCATTGCACTCCAGCCTGGGTAACAAGAGCGAAACTCCATCTCAGAAAGAAGAAAAAAAAAAAAAATTTACTAACCCAAAGGGCAGGAAAGGAGGAAACGAGGAATAAAAAGCACATGAGACATATAGGAAATCAACACAGGAGCTCGAAATCCAACTATATCTATAATTATGTAGGCTATAAACATAAAAATCTTATCACTCCAACTACAGGGCAGAGGTAACAATGTATAAAAAGGTAAGGCCCACAACAAATATACTTTAAATGCAAAGACAGAAGAATGAAAAAAATATATCGTACAAACACTAAGCGTGAGAAAACTGGAATGGCTGTGACAATATCAGACAAAATAGACTTTAAGAGTATTTCTAGAGGTAAAGAGGAAAGGAGAGACATTTCATAATTATAAAAGGTCTAATATATATGAAAGACATAAAAACCTAAAACGGCTAATATATATAAAAGACATAAAACATGAATATGTATTTGCTTAATGACAGAGCTTCACAATACACAACACAACAAATGACATGTACATCCTGCCCGAGGCCAGTTATTCCAAGAATGTAAAGTTGTTTTAACATTTGAAAACAAACATTGTAATTTACCATATTAACAAACAGAGAAGAAAAACCATATCAGAATCTCCATACGTGGACCAAATAAACATTTGAAAAAGTCAATAATCGTTTACAATAAAAACTCTCAAAAACATAGAAATAGAAGAGAATTTCCTCAATCCGATAAAAGACATCTGTGAAAAACCTATAGCTAACATCATACTTAAAGGTGAAATGTGAACTCTTTCCCTAACATTGGGAAAAGACAAGGATGTCTGCTCTCAGCATTTCTAGTTGACATTGTAGCGGAGGGCCCAGTCATTCTAATATGGCCAAAAAAAAAGTATAGAGATCGAAACAGAAAAAATAAAAGCATCCCTATTCACATATTTCTACATAGAAATCTATTCCTATTCTTAATTATATATGGTCAATTCCATTCATTATAGGGTTAAAAAATGTGAAATGCCTAAGGCCTTTGAACTCAAAACTACTGCATTGTTGAGAGAAATTAAAGATGGCCTAAATAACAAGTTCTAACCTATTCATGAACTGGAAAACTCAGTATTTGTAAGATAATAGTTCTCTCCAAATTGGCTCGTAGTCAGTATAATTCCTATCATAATCCCAGCAGAAATTGAAAAGTGATTCTAAAATTCATGGAAAAATGAAAAGGACTTAGCCAAAACAATGTTGAAAAAGAACAATGTTGGAACATTACATGACCTGGTCTTAAAGGCTAACTAATAAGCTATGGTAATCAAGGCCCTGTGGGACGAGCGTAAGAACTTACCTATTTTTTAAAATCTTCTCAACCAATTTTACTACTCCATTGCTAATAAAATGCGGGCCTTCTAAAGGTCCTAAATGAGGTCTATTTTAGGCTGTTATTACTATGTTGTTATTATTATGAAGCATTTTTATTTTGTTTTATTTGCTTTTTGAGACAGAGTCTCACTCTGTTGCCCAGGTTGGATGGAGTGCAGCATTGCGATCTCGGCTCACTGTGAACTCTGCCTCAGGTTCAGCAATTCTGCCTCAGCCTCCCAAGTAGCTGGGATTACAGGTGTCCGCCACCACGCCAGGCTAATTTTTGTATTTTTAGTAGAGACGGGGTTTCATGATGTTGACCAGGTTGGTCTCAAACTCCTGACCTCAGGTGATCCGCCCACCTTAGCCTCCCAAAGTGCTGAGATTCAGACGTGAGCCACCGAGCCCGGCCTACGATGCATTTTTGCTCTTCCTTCAGTAGATTGTGTGTTTCTCCCTGCATCCAGGCATGTGGGGCTATCTAAGTGTTCATGTCATCTATGTCTGCACTATGCCCTGTCTGTCTGTTTTAATAGTGTCTGTTAAAACAGCGACCATTATCCATCATAGACAACCAGTCTCAGTCCTCATGGTGCGGATGAAACACAGAAGCCACAAAGCTGCTTTTCCTGAAATAACGTACCTGAGGTGGGGGGCTGGCTGGTTTTGGATGACACCCATTTTGGTGACGACTCGGGATGTGGGGCCACAGGTTGCACTGGACGAGTCTGTTTGGCTGCCAGTTTCATCAGACCCACTTGCCTCTTGTGAAATATTTCCTGCACATCACCCAGCCTCTGCAGGACTTGCTGGGCTTTGGCCTGCAGTAACGAAAGCAGATCATGAGGAAAGTGTCCCTCTGCATACAGCCTGAGGACACAAAGCATTTCCTTTCTCGAACCTTCCCCTACTCCCCACGGCCCTATCTCCCTCAGGTGACCTCCCCTCTAGGCATCATTATGCAAGATGTGCCCTGCCATGCTTCAGAACTGTGCTTCTAAGGATCAGCCTCTCCTACTTGAGACCCTCAAGGGCAATGCATCCTTTCACTATGGCGTCTCCAGTGCCTGGAACAGCCTGGCACAGGACTTCAAGACCAGCCTGGTCAACTCGGTGAAACCCCATCTCTACTAAAAACACAAAATTGGCCGGGCATGGTGGCTCACGCCTGTAATCCCAGCACTTTGAGAGGCTGAGGCGGGTGGATCACGAGGTCAAGAGATCGAGACCATCCTGGTCAACATGGTGAAACCCCGTCTCTACTAAAAATACAAAAAATTAGCTGGGCATGGTGGCGTGTGCCTGTAATCCCAGCTACTCAGGAGGCTGAGGCAGGAGAATTGCCTGAACCCAGGAGGCGGAGGTTGCGGGGAGCCGAGACCGCTCCCTTCCACCCCCGCCTGGGTAAAGAAAGCCAAACTCCATCTTCAAAAAAAAAAAAAAAAAAACACAAAATTAGCCAAGTGTGGTGTCGGGCGCCTGTAATCCCGGGTACTCGGGAAGCTGAGACAGGAGAATAGCTTGAACTCAGGAGGCGGAGGTTGCAGTGAGCTGAGATTGTGCCACTGCACTCCAGCCTGGGTGACAGAGCAAGACTCTGTCTAGAAAATAAAAATAGAAATAAATAAACAAACAATTAGAATACAGTGCGGTTTACGTCATGTTAGATAGATCAAAGCCTCTTGGCCTGAGTCCATGGGTGGACTTCAGAGCATTCCCCAGAATGACATCAACAGTTAAGACAGGCTGGACCCTCCCTGGGGCAGCCTGCTCCTCCACGGCATCCTCTCTCCCCTGCCCTCTGCCCAGGAAGCTAGCTACAAGAAGCTCCTAAACCAGAAGTACAGACCAGGCGATGAGGCTCTCAGAGGAAGGTGACCTATGGCCAACCCTGCTGGCTTCATGGAAGAATGCACTTCGCAAACGCAAATCCAATCAACTTATTCCCCTGCTTAAATCCAAACTCTTTCCTGTGGCCCACAAAGCCCACCTTGCCTGCCTCTCTCTGACCTCTCCCCAAACACACTTCCGTTGCACCGTGCCAGGCTCCCTCCGGCCTGGACTCTTTGCACGGGCTGCTCCTCCTGTCTGGAAAGGCTCTCGCGTCTTCTCGTTCTCCAGGCTTTAGCTGAAGTGACCCTTCCTGAGAGCCTTCTCTGACCCCAGTCCAGGCCAAGTTCCTCTGCCACATGCCTGACCCTAATCCCTCCTTGACAGCACTTACAGCTTGTAACACATTTTTGTCTGATTATTGTGTTCACGTCAGCCTCTCCCACGAAACTGCAAGCTCAGTGAGGGTTGGAAGCGCGCCTGTTTCTGCTCACCGTGGTAGCCTGGCACGCAGCACGGCGCGCGGTAAATCAGGAATGCTCATAAGCATTAACAGAGAAATGACTGATTTAGGCAGACGAAGGGTCAGTGTGCCAGGACGTTCAGGCCGGGAGGCCGAGGCCATGGGAGGGCTTCGGAACCAGTTCGCCCACGCGATACCGCCCGGTCAGGACACCCTGCATGCACTTTATCAGGAAGAAGGTACAGTGCCTCCCTCCCCTTCTGTTCCCCAACTACAGAATCGGCCCAGAAGCATTACCTTTGCATCGAGGGTGAGCAGCAATTCAAACTCGTCGTAAAACTCCTTGGGGCTGAGCAACGGGTCCTCCTTGGCTGTGCCCAGGAACGTCGCAATGTCGTTCAAGGCGACGTCAACCCCCTCTCGAGACTGGCACTTGTCTACAGCTTGGGAAGCCAACAGGTAGATTCCTGCCTCACACCATTGACTGACCTTTAGGAAAGAAACAGCGCCCTGTGTGCTTAGCCTGACCACAGCTCAGAGCCGCCATCATTCTCCGCGTGTCTGAGCTTGTAAGATGCCTACAAGGATTCCGAGACAATGGGAAATTGTCATGGGACGGCGTAAAGTGTAAGGGGTCTAACCGCAGTAACTTATACTATGAGGTGGACAAGCCCAAACCAATTTACACCTGTTCACTTATCAGGGAAGGCACCTGGTCAGCAAAATGAGTCATACAACATTCTTATCTCTTCCACTGACAGTAGTTGCTACATCTCCAGGAGGAGACAGCTAAATATATATTTAATTTGAGGCAAGGTCTCACTCTGTCACCCAGGCTGGAGTGCAGCAGTGTGATCACGGCTTACTGCAGCCTGGAGAGGTCCCTCCCAGCCTCAGGTGATCCTCCCACCTTAGCCTCCCAAGTAGCTAGGGCTGCAGATGCATGCCACCACACCAGGCTAATCTTTCTTTTCTTTTCCTTCCTTCCTTTCTCTTTCTCTCTCTCTTTCTCTCCTTTCTCTTTTTCTCCTTCCTTTTCTCTTTCTCTCTTTCTTTCTCTCTCTTTCCGTCTCTCTCTTTCCTTTCCTTTCTTTTGACAGGTTTTCTTTTCTTTCTTTTTTTTTTTTGAGACGGAGTTTCACTCTTGTTACCCAGGCTGGAGCGCAATGGCGCGATCTCGGCTCACCGCAACCTCCGCCTCCTGGGTTCAGGCAATTCTCCTGCCTCAGCCTCCTGAGTAGCTGGGACTACAGGCACACGCGACCATGCCCAGCTAATGTTTTGTATTTTTAGTAGAGATGGGGTTTCACCATGTTGACCAGGATGGTCTCGATCTCTTGACCTCGTGATCCACCCGCCTCGGCCTCCCAAAGTGCTGGGATTACAGGCCTGAGCCACCGCTCCCGGCCCTTTTCTTTCTTTTGACAGGTTTTAGCCATGTTGCCCAGGCTGGTCTCGAACTCTTGGGCTCAAGCAATCCTCCCACCTCGGACTCCCAAAGTGCTGGGATTACAGGTGTAAGGCCCCGCACTGCCCAGCCTTATAGCTAAATATCCCTTAGGCTGGTCCAACCACAGAGCAAGGTAATGAACGGCTTTTCGGGTTTACCTGCTAGGACACTTGTCTTGCATCCTAATTGGTTACCAGAACACAAGGTGATTAATGAGACATTAGACTTGGCCCTAACATTTCCTGGGATTAGGGAGTGTCTCTTTAACAAAAACACAACTTTCCTCTCTGGATTCCCAGGTGATGCCTATTTGCATTTACTGGTGTTTGTCTTTCTGAAGGAAGCAAGAATGCAAAGCTTTGTAGGTCAGCACAGCAATATTCAAAGTTTCTGGACGCTGGGAGGACATCAGATAGGTGATGAATTCTAATTATTCAATTTATAAAAAAGACTCATGTTCGTTGCTCTTTTGAACTCCACTGAGACACGTGAACAGAAAGACAGGGACCCTTTTGCCACTTGAAGAGTGATGTGAAAAGAAGCTCCCAGCACCAGCACATCTGCATCTCATGTGACCTGAAAAGCAATATCACTATCCCGAGAAAAAAGATCGAAATGGAACACTTCAAAGCAGTTATCTAAGTGGGAAAGAGTATTATATTTAAAATAAATATACAACTTACATTTAGTTAAGTTAAATATTTATGATAGGCAATTTAAGATAAATACGATAGGCCACTTAAATGTTTATCTTATTGTTTTCCCAGATTATTTACAGTGAATATGTACTACATTTAGAATAATAAATAGTAATAAAGAGATTTCAAAAGTAATAGCTACCGTTATATAGGGATGTGGGGTAGTGGGATAATGTATGAGCCCATGAGTAACCTTTTTCTTCCTGTATTTTTGGATTTCCACAGTAACATGTATTCATGCTTTGAGGTATGCTGTGAAAACCTCTTTACATATCATGTTTAGATCTGCAAAAAACAATAGGCTGGGGGCTTCTGTAGAGTTAATATAGCTACTTGCTTTCTCTCTTCCCCCCTCTCTCTCACGCACACACACCCCAGGCTTGTTATCTCTGGAGCAGAAATGGAGTTGGGAAAGCAGCAGCTGATTCCGCAGGGAGCTCAGCACGCACAGCTGGCTGCGCACCAGCCCCTCGGAGCCACTTGCTTCTGGAACAACTGGATTTCATTGATACTAAAATCCCTTTTGCCATGGGATGAGGTAAGCAGCCCGGGTGGGTGCCTCTTGCCGTGTGAGAGGAGCAGCTGTGGGGATGGAGCACGCTGACTCACTGCCATCAGCCACATGCTGGCTGGGAACAGCTGACGGAGAAGGCTCCAGAAACAGGGCTCCTGCTGACTGGGAACACACCCTAGAGGTCACCTCCAACAGGCACCTGTGTCTGCACACCCCTGCCCCCGCGAGGCCCCGTGCCTGCGGCCTTGCCGTCTATCCTGTGAAGCCTGTGTGTGGCATCTGGCAGGCCTGACTTCAATTCTGCCTTCCCCTGCTTGCACCATGTGTGGTCTGGGGCAGTCACTTATCCCAAGGTTTCCTGGTGTCATCCCTGCACCACCTGCACCAAAATCACTTGGGCACTTAACTAAATTACCAGTTCCTGGTATTCCAGACCTACTGACGCCGAGTCTCCAGGGCAGTCCATGAGGGAATCTGCCACGTAACAGCTTGCTAGGCGATTCCCGTGTGCTAAACCCCCAGACCCAGCAGAGCATCAACTTCTGCCTCTGCACAATGAGGCCATTAACACTTTCCTCAGAGGGCGTCTTGAGGATTATAAATAGATGACATAATTAGGTTCCTGACAGGAAGACAGCAGGTGCTCAATAAATGTAGGGATTATGAGATGGCCATTATGGCGTAAGCTTCTCCAAAGAGAGTCAAAACCCTTGCCTTTCTATGAGGGAAGCACTCTGCAAGTATAGTGCTTGGTTCTCTGTACACCTGAAAGGAAATCAAGAAGGGTTCCCACAGAGCCAGGCCAAAACACACTAAGCCTGGCTCCACACAGTTAGACACGGGCTTTAGTTCATGCTAATGGGATGTGGTGGCATGGCCAGGGCACTTTTGACCTTCAATAGCTCTACAGCCTAGGATCTGCACAGGTTTGCATGCCCCTTGAACTTGAACCTGTCGGCAGTCACGTAAGGAAGGGAGGGCAAGCAGAAAATCTTGCAGACGTCATGTTCTTGGCTGTGCTCTGCTCACCTTGTCCAGCTGTCTGTGCAACTCCAAGGACTTTCCGAAAACGTCCCGTTGTTTCTTGTTTTCATTGATGAAATTGTCACAGAGGTGCCTGAGCTCCACGCACCGGGGCCTGATGGTGTCTGCTGCATCATGGTGGCTTTGCATGAGCTGGTCCCCAACCAGTGCCAGCAGCTGGGCCTTTTCCAGGGGCTCCTGCAAAGTGAACATCCGCAGCCAGGCATCAGAAGTCAGGGCATCGTGAGGCTGACAGCTCCCTGGTACCCTACGCCCCAAGCCTGGAGGGAGATGGGGGAGGTGCTGACGCAGGACGAAGGCTGGAGAACCTCAGAAAGCTCGGAATGGTTCCGGGCCCAGGAAGCTGAGCCTGGCCCAGAGCTGTCCACACTCTCAACAACAGCAGTCATTCACTCAAATACCTGCTGAGTTCTGGGCTAGACACTGAGGATGCAGTGTTAACAAGTCAAACACTGTCAGATTAATGGAGAATTCAGATATTAACTAAATCATACAAATTATTAAATTATTACAATTGCAATAAACTCTAGGGCAGAGAAGCATAGAGTGCACATCATAAGAGATTCTGAATAGCACTATTAACTAAAGGAACAAGAAGGGGGACTCACACCTGTCTTTGAGGAGAGTTGGGGGTGAACTGAGGCGAGGACACTGGTGAAAATTGGGTTTGGACAACTCGAAGGTGGTCATGACACTTAAGAAATATGCTTATCTAGGCCAGGTGCGGTGGCTCATGCCTGTAATCCCAGCACTTTGGGAGGCCAAGGTAGGTGGATCACAAGGTCAGGAGTTTGAGACCAGCCTGACCAACATGGTGAAACCCTGTCTCTACTAAAAATACAAAAATTAGCTGGGTGTGGTGGTGGGTGCCTGTAATCCCAGCTACTCGGGAGGCTGAGGCAGGAGAATCACTTGAACATGGGAGGCGGTGATTGCAGTGATCCAAGATCACGCCACTGCACTCCAGCCTGGGTGACAGAGCGGGACTAAGTCAAAAGAAAGAATGAAAGAACGAAAGGAGGGAGGGAGGAAGGAAGAGAAATACACTTGTTTAAACCCCTTCCCAAGGCCTGCAAGGAACCTGTCTACACTGATCCCGTCTACACTGATCCCATCTGCTCATCACATTTCCTACCTCTTTCTGCATGACACTTCACTGTAACCATGTGCCAAGCTGCCTGTTTTTTAAGCATTCCTTTATTCATCTGTCTCATATTACTGAGAACCTACTATGTGCCAAACACTGTCATAGATGCTGGGGGTTCATTGGTAAAGAAAGTGGGCAAAAATCCCGACCTCATGAAATGAAGCTTACATTTCAATGGAAGACAGAGGCAATAAATGACTGCATGTGCAGATGTTACAACACCTTAGACAGCGACAAGTACGTGGGGAAAGTAGGCAGTGGGAGGGCAGGGAGTGCTGGAGCTGGCGTTTTAAGCTGGACTGTGAGAGAAGGTCTCCCTGAGAAGGAGCTACCCGAGCTGTGCAGAAAAGACTTCTCATAGAAAGACCGAGAGTGGCCGGGCGCGGTGGCTGGCCTGTAATCCCAGCACTTTGGGAGGCTGAGGCGGACGGACTGCCTGAGCTCAGGAGTTCGAGACCAGTCTGGGCAACACAGTGAAACCCCATCTCTACTAAAACACAAAAAATTAGCCAGGTGTGGCAGCATGCGCCTGTCGTACCAGCTACTCTGGAAGCTGAGGCAGGAGAATTGCTTGAACCTGGGAGGTGGAGGTGGCAGTGAGCTGAGATTGTATCACTCCAGCCTGGTGACAGAGCAAGATGCCATCTCCAAAAAAAAAAAAAAAAGGGAAAAAACAAAAGAAAAGAAAGCCTGAGACTACCAGCCTTAGAAAGAGCAAGACTGGCCCTTTGTTGGCATCTCGGAACTTAGATTTTGGGAAAGTTCCCTCCATTTCCTGATATGAATAGTTCACGATGTGTGGTTTATGGTGATTACCTGCTTTCCTTCTGGGAGTCTGGAAACTTGGTACCTGCCAGACAGAAGTTGCCCACATGGCCAGCTACCAGTAAAAGCTCTGGGCAGACAACATTTCACACGTGTTGTCACAACCCACAGATGGGGGGCAGGAAGCATGTCCTGTGTGACTCCCACAGGAGAGGATTCGAAGAAGCTCGTGCCTGGCTTCCTGCAGACGTCACCTCGCGCCTTTCCCGTTTGCTGAGTTTGCTCAGTACTTTGTCATCGTAATAGCTCATAACTCTAACACAGCTGCATGCAGAGTCCTCCCAGTGAATCTTCAAATTTGCACATGGTCCCGGGAGCGCTCTGGACACAAGCTGAGACCTGAAGTCAGGGACGAGCCGCAGGGCACTTGGATGGGAGGGGAGGTAGCGTCTGACAAGTTCGGGTAGCAGGAAGGGGGTCCGTGTGGCTGGGAGGGGAGGGAGCGTCTGACAAGTTCGGGTAGCAGGAAGGGGGCCCGTGTGGCTGCTGCCCAGGGAGCAGGCAGGAAGTGAGGAGCAGCAGCCAGAGGAAAGGGGGTTCCGTGCGGAGGGCCTCGCTGCCCTGTGAGCACTGTGAGAGGAAAGGCCCTGGGCTTGGGGGGAGGATCTCGCTCATGTTTCTGAAAGGACTGCTTCATGTACGGTACCCAGGATAAGAGGAAACGCAGGACAGCTGGAGGCCCGGCTGCTGTAGGAATCCAGCCGAGAGACGGCTTGTGCCTGACTCAGGGCCCTTCTCCGGACTGCTCTTCCCCGGTTCCTGCAGAGCGGGGCTGGTCACCTCCTCACAGGGCTTCCCCCACTACTGGATCCCAAGTCATTCTCTACGACCCGACACCCACTCACCTAGGCCCTCTCCCTCGCTTTAATTCTTTAACACGCTTATCTCGATCTAAACACTATTTATTTGCTTTAGTGTAGAGTTCCTCCCTCCTCCACTCACTCCCACCAACATGTAAGTTCCACAGGAGCATTTAGTAGGCGTCCAATAAATATTTATCAACAAAATGAATGAATGAGCCAACAAGCTAGACGAGGCAGGGATCTGCTTGGCTGGGACTACTTGATGCGACCTGGACTTCGGCATCAACACAGACGACTGCCACATTCCAAAAGGTCTCCAGGAGCAGAGAGCCCGCGGGCCCTCCTGCCAGCCACATCAGGCACCCAGCACATCACAGCTGCTCTGCTTTAGCTGTTTCAGTAACGTAAGGAGTCACGGCAACTCCAGGTGCGTTCAACCTGCCCTTCTCTTCACTTGCACTGTTTATGGTTTCCAGGATTTCCAAACCCCTCTCCTACCCTCGCACACATGGACGAAGCCCTCCAGGGCCCATCGCCTCTTAATGCCTTTCAAATTCTGACCCCATCTGCCACCTCCTTGCCACTGTGAACTCCGGCCTCATGCCTTCTCATGGGGACAGTTGGCCTCACTGTTTTTCTTCAGGCTCTCCTTCAAATCACGCCCCAGGCAGCTGACAAAGGAGCAATTCCAACACATCTTAGCAAGTTACCTCACTCCCAAGCTTCACGCCCTTTCCTGGGCTCCCAAGGTCTTTAGGAGCAAGCTTAAACTTTTGAGCAATGCAAACAGGGCCTTTCCTTATCTGGCTCATACCTGGGTGTGCCTCTTAACAAGTCCTCCTCAACTTCCTCAACTCCACTCTCTGCTGCAACCATACCAATGACCCCTGTGTTGGTCCCCAAATACTCAGGCAGCTGCAGGTCTCCACGCCTTCTCCATCTGCTGTCTGCCTACAAAGCCCATCCTTCCCTACTCCCCCTTGCCCACCCTCCTCTGGGGCCAAGTCGATCGGCATCACATTTCCGACTTCACCTTCTCCAGAAAACTTTCTCTGTGTTTCTCTTGATCACAGCACCTGCTTCATTATGTCGTGACCATTCATCTGCTGCCTGCATGATGCCACAGACCCTCATGGTCCAGAACCAGCCCATATTCAACCAAAAACAGGGCATGGTACATCTTAGGTACTTACAAATAAACGCTGCACAAAACAGAGAGGAGTAATGGCATAGAAACAAGTGACACAAATCAAGCAGTGGCTAGTCAAAGGACTGAGGCAAAAATAAACAGAGCACTTGTTCTAAACAGCAGAGGCCCAGGCGCACTGGTTATATCCCCTACAAGAAGATTGGAATACTCATTCCCTGGGCAGTAGTTTTTATTTATTTTTATTTTTGAGACAGAGTTTCGCTCTTGTTGTCCAGGCTGGAGTGCAATGGCGCAATCTCAGCTCACTGCAACCTCCGCCTCCTGGGTTCAAGTGATTCTCCTGCCTCAGCCTCCCGTAGCTGGGATTACAGGCATGTGCCACCACACCTGGCTCATTTTTTGTATTTTTAGTAGAGACAGGGTTTCTCCATGTGTTGGTCAGGCTGGTCTTGAACTCCCGATCTCAGGTGATCCACCAGCCTCGGCGTCCCAAAGCACTGGGATTACAGGTGTGAGCCATCACGCTGGGCCAGTGTTTTTTTATTCTTTGGTTCACTGCTGTGTCCTTAGAACTTAAACAGTACCTGGCATGGTGGAAGATGAATAAATGAAGAATGAATGACGGACCTTTCCTAGCACTGCTCAGCTACCGCAGACTGAACCTAGGACACGTGGCATAGCACAGAATGTCTCCCTCTGCCTCTGTAATACTGATAACAACAGCCAACATTTCCTGAGAGCTTACTACACGCTATGCACTGTTCTGAATGCTTTACGACTGCTTATTTCCTTAGCTCTTCACAACAAATCCTTTGACACAGGTACTGTTTTATCAGTGGGAAGGGGAGGCACCATGGTCCAAGGTGACCCAGCTATGAAAGAGAAGAGCCAGGCTTCAAACCCAGGCAGTCTGGCTCCAGGATCTGGCTCAGACCACCATACACAGAGGAAAAATGGCTGTCCTTGTTCTGCCGCAGCTTAGAGACCTCATTTGGTTGCTTGAACTTGTCTGACGTTAGTCAAATATAGAAACATGAAACTTGGCAAGAAAGTCTCTGTTGACTTTTTTTTTTTTTAAGTCCAGCTGCCTAATTTATTAAGAACAGTGCAGAGTTTTCTGGGTCCAGGGAAATTCACTACAGGGTACTTCCAAATTGCCCTGTGGTAATCCGAGCCTGGCCTTCCCTTGGCTTGCAGCATCTCACCCTTCAGAGCTGTCCAGAAGACATCTGAGGTGTTAGAGGAAGGTGTGCGTAACAGGTCCAAATAGGTCTAGGGAAAAACGTGCATAGAGGCAGCTGAGGAGCAGACCGGATTCAGCCACCTCATGGCTGGAAGGTCACTATCACAGAACGAAAGGACAACAGCAGTAGTTTCTGGCCACTGACTACTGACCACCGACCACGCTGTGGGCCAACCACATTAAGTTCCTACCATGCGTCTGACTCATTTAATCTCCACAGGGTCTCTGTTAGGTAGGAATTATTATCTCTGCTTTACAGATGAGGGGACCATATTCAGAAAGGCTAAGAAACACGACTAGGGTCACACAGCTGGTAGTTGTTAGAGCCACGATCCGAATCCACCTCTATCTGGCTCCAAAACCTCTGTTCTTGACACCTTCCAGCCCACTGGCCTCTCCGCATGTGCTGTGAAATCCTTCTGGTGCCTGCAAAGAAATGTACAGTGAAACCTCCAAATGGAAGCTTACTTTTTTAGTTTATATACCTCCCACTCAAGATAAATAGCAATAAACTCTCCAAGTAAAAAAGAAAGAGTGAGGGAAAAATGGCTAAAATCTGGTACTCTGATCACAAGCCCATCTGGGATCTTTTAGATGCTGAAAATTCCAGAAGGCTGGATAGTCAAGTTGCAGCTTAGAAGCTGCAATTCAGAATCTTTATCAAAGCAGCAGTTTACCTCCCCCCGAGGACTCTACTGGTATAACAGCTGAGGGACAAGGGTGCCTACTAGGAGAGAAGACGCCGACAAAGCGAGTGATGCTACTCTATCAGCAACTCCAGAACAAACCCACGATGATCCATAGGGGTGGCGTGTGTGTGGGAGGTGGCCCAGATGAAACAAGAAGGGTTGAAACTCAATGATGGATACGTGGAGTTCACTGTACCCGTCTATCTGCTTCCGTGTGTGTTTGAAAATTTCACACACATACACAAAGCCATGACCCTCCAACTAGATGGCATCCTTGGATGTTCGTGGCCTGGGTTCCATGCTTGCTTAGACACAGCACCCTCGTGGGGAGAGGTCAAGACTGAAACCAGGTGGTTCCTCCACCCCGCCCTGGTCTGTTCCCTGCTGATCCATCAGCAAAGGTGTCAGCTTGGCCCCACAGTCAAAACAATGCAGCAAATTCTGCTTTTATGGAAGACCTTCAGTAAGTGGCTGAAACCACTGTTTTTCAGAATCAGGAAGGAACACTCAAAAGACTGCTAAACTCTCAAACTAGAACAAGACAAAAAACAGGCTGAATCAGCATGCGACTGGAGCCCGCTTAGTGAGTTGACTCTGAGGTTACTTGTGAGGATGATGTCACTCTGTGGAATACGGAAACTGGCACCATCCCCAGAGGCAGCGCGCGGCCGTGCTGGGAGGGAGCCGGCTTCTTAGTGCTGACTAAAGAACAACCCCCACGCAGATATTTCAGACTGTGGCCAGACACAGCCTTGTTCCTTTAACACTTTAAAGGACAAATGGAAAGACTAGCCAAGCCACCCGTCTGAGAAGTCGGAGAGAAGAGATACTAAAAACAATCTCGGTTATGACGAGACAGCTTTGTTTGATTCACCCAAAGGCGGAAAAACAGGTGTGCTGCCTCCTGCAGGAAGCAAGTTTAGAAGCCAGGTCTGCAAGTCACAGGATGTGACCGGTCTGCAAATCCTACAGGTTCTACAAGGCTGGCAAGTCAAGGTCATCCACGGGGGCTGGCCCGGCTGCTTCGAGAATGTGGCCCATGACAGGTGGGTCATGCCCTCACAGAGCATTCCTGTGTCCCATAACCACAGCTGTCATCCCTAGCTCTGGTCATCCATTTTTGAAGCATATACCAAGGACCACAAGTTCAAGGAGGTGGGTGGAAGACAGAATGTGATGCAGTCACGCAAATCCATCACCACTGTTCAAAACACAGCCCAGAGCGCCCTCCAAGGGCTTTCTGTTCCCCCGAGAATAAAATTCAAATTCCCACAAAAGATCTCAGGGTGCAACAGGACCACCTGGCCTCTGCTCGTCTCTGTCCCCTCATTTCCTCCTGGTCCACCTGCTCTAGCAAAGTTCCTTGAACTCACAGAGCTCATTCCTGCTTTAAGACGTCTGCACCCACCTTGATGCTATTCCCCAGGCCTTTGCATGATTACACAGATCTCAGATCAAAGGTCGCCTTCCCAGGCCTTTCCGGATCACTCTAGCTAAAGCAGCACCCCCAGTCACTTTCTACTATAGCTTGTTTTCTTTTTTATATCACCTGCTACTATCTGATGTTATTATTAATTTGACTGCTTTTTAATGAATTGTCTTTCTCCAGTAGAATGTAAGCTCCATGAGGGCAGAGTCTGGACTGTCTGGTTCACCACTGCATCCACACAACCTAGGATAATACACACACACACACACACACACACACACACACACACACACACACATCCTTCATATATCTATGCTTTCATAGATATATGAAGGCATTTTTATTGAGGTGCTTTTTCTTAATAAATGAATAAAAAATATATATAGTATTTATATTCAGTAAAAAATTCTTTAGAAAAAACTAAAATTATAAGATTGGGGCTGTCCTGGAGAATCTAAGACATATATTCATCATGTATATGAAGCTCAACTTTTCCATTGTTTGATAAATGTTCCTGATGACTCGTATGTCTTGAGCACTAGGTTATCTGTCAAATGATCGCTGGTAAGAGAGTGCTCACTAGGGAGGGATGGGATTCTTGAGTGGGGATCTGGATATGCAGGTGGGTTCGTGTGTTCATGCGTGTGCACAAGCACCCCCAGCTCAGAATCCACAACCCACAGCTCTTAGTCAGTGCGGCCTTGGTACACTTTGTGTTGTAGCCTTTAGGGGCGTGTCTCCAACTGTAATATACAAGTCAGTCACCTGGGGACCTTCTTAAAATGCAGATTCCAATTCCAGGGTGGGGTCTGAGATTTTATATTTCTAATTAGCGCTCACTCAGGTGACATCTGTGCTGCTGGCCAGAGGCCCACACTTTGAGAAGCAAGTCTTTAGTACTGCAAAATTGCCATCTGAGAAACATGCCTTGAGATCAGCTAAGGAAGAAGTGCTAATCATAGGGCACTTGGTCCCCAAGACACAAAAATATAGAGAATCTAATTTTAAACAAGCAGAAAGGCACTTCTCTGGAAAGAGATGACTCAGTTTTCTTTTTTTTTTTTTTTTTAATTTTTGTTTTTTTGAGACGGAGTCTTGCTCTGTCACCCAGCTGGAGTGCAGAGTGGCAAGATCTCGGCTCACCGCAACCTCCATTGCCCGGGTTCAAGCAATTCTCCTGCCTCAGCCTCTTGAGTAGCTGGGACTACAGGCGCGCGCCACCACACCTAGCTAATTTTTTTGTATTTAGTAGGGATGGGGTTTCACTGTGTTGGCCAGGATGGTCTCGAGCTCCTGAGCTCATGATCCTCCCGTCTCAGCCTCCCAAAGTGCTGGGATTACAGGAGTGAACCACCACATCCGGCCAGTTTTATTCATTTGTAATACACCAAATTTGTAAACACTTAAAATGGAATCATTTCTAAATGCTGACGTGTGTACAGATCTGGGGCACTGTTTAATTCCTGTGTGGGAATTGTAAAGTACATATTCTTTTACAAGTTCCTTATTTACAACACTTGGGACATGAGAAAGGAGAAAGCTTGGCCAATGCTGTGCAGCAATGGAACTCGTGTGGACCAATTTCCCCCACCTCACCATCTTGCTCCAGGTATAAAACTAGTTGTATTTTTTCTGGTTTCCCCTTTGAAAGTTTCCCATCCTTACTACCAACCCCACAACCCCCAGTCCCCTAGTCCAGGCTCCAGGGACGAGCCCAAGCTGATTGGTGAGACTCTGAGTTAAACGTTCTGGTGAGTGATGAGCCTGTTGGGACCTTCTCCCACTTGGCTGCTGACCATGTGAGAGGGCAGGGCTGTCCAGAGTCCTCAGCCCACCTGAGCATCCAACCGCAACAGTACGCTCTGGTGGCTTTGACAGAACTCTGTGCTGCCCGTATTATTCACGGCAGTTGTTCATGTGCGTCTCTCCATGGGATCCTGGGGGGAGAATGGGGTGACTGAAGGGCAGGACTGCGTACTCCTGCGTCCTTTAGCGAGCGTCCGATAGCGATGACTGGACACGATCCATCATCGTCCACAGCAGCCCCCTTCCCAGTACACGAAAATGTCAGAAAGCAAACCTGGCTTTTCTCCTCCAGTTTTTTGTGTTCCTTAAGAAGCTGCTCCACGTGCATCACGCTGTCTCCAACGCCTGTAAACTCTGCTTGCTCTTCCAGCAAATTATCCAGGGCAAGCTTAACCTACGAGACACATTAGAACAGTCTGGAAGTAAACCAGCGCATACTCACCTGGAGGCATGGGTTGTTACGCTTCGAGAAAATGCAAAGCTCCAGAAAGGACTCACGACTTGTATGTATCTATGTATGTTTAAAAAGTTTTTTTGCAGCTCACTAACTTTCCAATTAAGCTGGGGGTGCAGACACGTATAGCTGGTTTATGAGAACTATATTCAACAGATTATCAATCAAAAAGGAAGACAGCTGGGCCCGGTGGCTCATGCCTGTAATCCCAGCACTTTGGGAGGCGAGGCAGGAGGATTGTTTGTACACAGAAGTTTGAGAGCAGCCTGGGGAGCATCGGGAGACCTCGTCCTGCAAAAATGTAAAAAGAATGATGTGGTGTGGTGGTGGGGCATGCATGTAGCTGCAGCTACTTGGGAGGCTGAGGTGGGAGGATCACTTGAGCCCAGAAGATCAAACCTGCAGAAGGCCATGACTGCGTCACCGCACTCCAGCCTGAGTGACAGAGCAAGACCTTGTTTAAAAAAAAAAAAAAAAAAAAAGGCAAGATAAACCAGCACTGAAATGCCATGTACATCAACAGGAAAATGGGATTCTAGAACACTGCTGCTCCGCTGAAAAAGTGAGAAGGGGGCTGGAGGAGCCGTCTGTAAAGAAGCAAGGAGATGAGGAGAAGGCTGGATCAGGGAAAAGAGGGAACGCCCATACCAAAGAGGGAGGGCGGAGAGAAACCCAGAGGTCACCGAACCAGAGAAGGAAGTGATATTAAACAAGAAAAGAATACCTTACAAAAATCGTGCTCAAAATGCTGCAGCTGTAGGCACTGGTTAAGCTTCAGATGATGCTCAGACCAGAACTGACTAAAGGCTTTTTCTGTTTCATGCAGTTGAACTAATAACCTTTCAAGAAAGAACGAGAAAGTGACGTTGTGTTAGCATTCCTTTCCACCGGCGTCCACACAGGCCTGCGGAGAGACCCGTGTCTTCAGTCAGCGTTACTGACTGTGATCGTCTCCTTACTATGAACCTATGTGTCACCTACGCCTGTCTTCCGGCTCAGCGGGGTTTTCACCTTTCATTTCCCAGTCAGGACACCCCCAGCGCAGGCAGCAACTTCCCTTCAGATGCAGCTGCTGTGCTTCAGAATGCACTCGGTGATCTTACCTTCCTGCCTTCGTTCTACCTGAGGCTACATGAACATAAAGCACAGCACCAAGCCAAGCTGTAATTTGGAAATGAAGCCCAATACATACTACTATCTCCCTCAAAATCCTAGGATGGGGAGCATGTCACGTGCATTGAAGAGGGGGGAATGGAGCTCTCATTAAAAGATCTCTGTACGTGGATGCCAGAGGGACATATCTCTTCTCCTTTGCTGTCTAAAATATTTTTCCTCTTCTTTGGCCCGACCAAGACCCAATATCGGCTGTTCCAAGCTGTTCTTGGTTGCCCCAGAATATCTAGGTCTATATATTCCCTCCTGAAAGGGCAGATCCCATCTCATGCACTCACCTTTCCATGGTAGCTGCATTCTCAAGTTGATTGAGATTGCGTTTGCTGTTGGGATATTTGGTTGCTGGTTCTTGGATGCATGACAGCAATGTGGCCCCCTGTTTTCCAAGTAATTTCAGCTCATCCTAGAGAATAAAAGTAGTCTCTCTCAGAAAGAATTAGGAAAAACAAGTTCTTGGTAGAATGGAGGTGAAGAGAATAGATCAGTATATTTTTCATTTAGGAAATTAAATGCTGATGAAGATGCAGTTTTAAAATTAATCAATTAACTTGTCCTTGATCGGTAATGCATCCACATGATACAAAATTCCAAATATCCAAAAGCCTATACATCAAAAAAAGTATTTTTTTCTCTTCAAAAGCCACATCTGCTTTTTGTATAGCTCAAGCTATTGTTGTACATTAAAAGCAAAACTAGTGAATTCAATCTGGTTTTAATATAAGAGAGTGACCAGAAACAAGAAAATGATAGATATTGAATACTGAATGCTAGAAAGTACCAAGCAGTAATAACGTAATAACTGCTAGTTGACCGTAAAAATACTTCAGTTAGTCTCATCAATAAACACCTGCTTCCCCTTCCACCTGCCAACCAGCTGTGGCTTTGTTTAATTACTGAAGTTTGGCAGATATGGGCAGCAGTTTCAGTTCAACGTGGAAGGGCTCGTACTGCCAAGCCATGCTGCTCTTTGAACACAGAGCCTCGGTGCTTCGCAGCTGGGGAAGGCTACTTCCTTCCAGAGCCAATAGCTGTAGCCCTTTCCTTGGACAGTGCAGGTCACCTGTCATTGCCCTGAGCCTTACCCACAAAGCCCAGGGTGCACAACAAAAGTGGCAGTGCCTGACCTAGAATTCTGTGCTTGGGAATTATGGGTTCAGTTCCCAGGTCAGAGGAGGCCGGTTTGGTATGCCCTTGAGCATTAGAATAGGCACACAGCTCTAAAACACCAAAAGATCACCTCTGCCCACATGAACACTGCATCACTTCCTCTAGGCCCAGCCACCTGTGTGGTCTCCACACAGCCTAGAGCTCACTCCCCGTGGGAAGAGTTTCACACTTCCCCACTCTGATCACACGGAAGTCCTGTGCCCTCTCAAGCTCGTACCTTTGTTCCTGTGTCCCATTCTACTCCACAATTTCCCCTGGAGGGGTTACACTGCCTGCCCATCCTCAAACCTGGCCCTGGATCTGGCGGATGCTGGACTTGGCTTCTCTGAGCCAGCCCTTCAGCGTTCTTTGGATACCTCCTCTGGCCCTGTCCACTCCAAACAGTGGCCCACATTAGCCACGTGGCTGGCGCTCTTGCCTGGGAATCAGGCGTATCTCTTCTTTTCCATTCTCATGTGTCAGCCCTCATTCTTATCTCGTTAATGCTCATTCAATATTTGTAGGTTGGATAAATTCATAATGGCCTAAAAGAAGTCAGGTTGCAAATGAATACAGACAAATTAGATGTGATGGAAAAAACGTCCTCCTGAGTCAGTGTCTGAGCCATTCCCTCAGCTCACCCACTAAAGGGGGCCTTGGCTTTTCCCACTCGTTTTCTTAACTGCTGCAGAGCTTCCAGCAGGATTCTGGCATTACCCATATACACAACCATATCCATATATATGAATGTACACACACACACATATCCATACGTGATGAAGAGCTGGGGAGGAAGGTAGAGAGGGTAAAGGAGAAGCGCCATGCTGGCATGGCAGAAGGAGACACTGAAGGGGGAAGCTGGGAAGAGGGATATGCCCAAAGTGTGGCAGAGCCTGAGGAAACAGTGTGAGGAAGGAAAGGCGAATCTTCACCAGTGATGTCACACACCGCGTATCCCCTTCTCACTGTTTAAAAGGGCTACGGGCAGGAATCGTGACCTGGTTACTGCTCCGGTATTCAACCAGCAAGGTCAACTTGAGTAGGCCACAGAAGTCTTCCCTGAACCCAGAGGGAAAGACGGAACAACCATGGTCCTAGAAAAGGGGAAAGGGAAGTTGCTCAGCCTAAAAACGGAGATTCGGTTTCCATGGGAAGAAAACCATCTTTCTGGGTATTTAATTTTTGTACTACCTGCACTCGGGCTGGAGGAGGAACTTGGCGCTGTCTTCCAGAACATGTGTATCAGTCGACGCTCCCTTTCGGAGAGTCTCCTTTCTCTGTGTGGACAGGGTCCTGCTGGTGGCAGGGTGAGGACTGTTGGAAACTGAGAGACAGCTCACTGCCTTCCAAAGTTGCCTTTCCTCAGAAAATGGGAGTCCCACCACCACCTCGGTCAGGATCCAACTGGCAGAGGAGGTCGCGGTGCCTCTGCACACGTTCACTGAGTACTCTCGACACGTGGAAAGGCACACAGCAGGAATGACGGCTGGGTCCTGTCTGCTTGCCTCATTCATCAGGAGCTGAGCTCTCCTGGGGAAGGCTAAAGCTGCTTGGGTTTATCAGACTGGCTTTTCCTCTCTGTCCCGCAGAGAAAATGAGGTTTCAAATCTTAGCATGAAGCCCAAGTGCCCACAATTTGACTGGACAGAAGATAACACCTACTGAAATCAGGAGCACTCTCTGATTGTAAGTTACATGAAGGCCCAAACAGTGGCTCTGGCTGGGGGAAAGTTTCGGCTTCCAGGGAAAAGCTTTCTTTAAAGTCATCAGTTTGCTTAAAAGTTTGATACGATTGTTCCACTGTGGACGTTTGGAGATTTTTTTCTGTGTGAATAGACTGGCTTAATATACGGAAGGCCGAAAGAAAGAGGTTCTATTGGAATATTATTTTGAACAAAATAGTAACAACTCCCTAGAGAAATGGCAAGTGAAGCTGAGAACCTCCCCAACTCAATGGCTCTCCTATTGTTTGACTGTAGAGGTGACTACACGCATGTTCCTAAGATAAGGGATCTCAAAGATCCCAGGAGAAAGGCGGTCAAGAAATCAAGCCAGATCCCCTAAGCAGTGCAAGCTGTTTAGGAAAAAACCCTCTCCAGGCTGGGAGAAAACGGTAAATCACGCGCTGCAACTTTTATAGATCCTTAAATAGATTTGGAAGTTCTCTGTACTGAACAAGGAATCTTATAATAGTTTTTTTTTTTTTTTTTTTTTGAGACAGAGTTTCGCTCTTGTTACCCAGGCTGGAGTGCAATGGCGCGATCTTGGCTCACCGCAACCTCCGCCTCCTGGGTTCAGGCAATTCTCCTGCCTCAGCCTCCTGAGTCGCTGGGATTACAGGCACGCGCCACCATGCCCAGCTGATTTTTTGTATTTTTAGTAGAGACGGGGTTTCACCATGTTGACCAGGATGGTCTCGATCTCTTGACCTCGTGATCCACCCGCCTCGGCCTCCCAAAGTGCTGGGATTACAGGCTTGAGCCACCGCGCCTGGTGGAATCTTATAAAAGTTTTTAACTTTCCAGCTGGAAAAAAAAATTATTCAATGACATATAGAATCTTTGATTAAATGCTAGGTAAAAGACCAATAAGAGGAAAATAAAATATGTATAAATAACCACAAAAACTACTAAGTTATTAATACAAGTTTAAACAGTATCTCTTTTTTGCTAATATAAACCATTTCTCTCTTTAAGGCATTTTTGGATGAGAAAGAGGAAGAATGTAACTCTTGTTTAATGATTTTGGTATTCTTGCTTCTAAGCCACAAGATAAGGAACGAAGAAATCAAATTTGCGTTAGTCCAATAATCAGTAATCACAAAAAGTCCTTAAGAAATGCTCTGTTTTTTTTTTTTGTTTGTTTGTTTTTTGTTTTTAGATGTAGTTTCGCTCTTGTTGCCCAGGCTGGAGTGCAGTGGCATGATCTTGGCTCACCGCAACCTCTGTCTCCCAGGTTCAAGCCATTCTCCTGCCTCAGCCTCCTGAGCAGCTGGGATTACAGGCACCAGCCATCATACCTGGCTAATTTCTGTCTTTTTAGTAGAGACGGGGTTTCACCATGTTGGCCAGGCTGGTCACAAACTCCTAACCAAAGGTGACCTATCCGCCTTGGCCTCCCAAAGTGCTGGGATTACAGGTGTGAGCCACCGCACCCAGCCTGTATTATCTTTTAAAGGATGTTAATTAATATTTCTCGGTAAAATAAGGATGATAATATTTTTAAATCCAAATTCACTTAATATTCTTCATTGAGGTAAAGACTTGGACAAATTAAATTGCTTTGAGAATTTTGTCTTAAAATAATTTGAGGTCTTCACCATGATTTTAGGGCAGCATGGAATATAAATGCAAGCGTTTCTTTTACTAAAAGGTCAATTAAATGGACCTTACTAATTTCCTTTCACTTGTCTTACAGGTTGGATGGGGGTGTTTAACCAAATTAATGTAATTAGAGTATAAATGTCAAATAATACTTCTAACTAGGTGGCCTCCAAGGCTGCTCCACCCCCTGATCTGAGAGAAGTCTCAGCCTCCTTTGCTCAGAGCAGCCTGTTGTGCTCCTGAGAGCCCCTGGTTAGCATGTACACGGAAATCCTCTTGCTCCATCTTGGAAACTGGTTCTCTCCCACCTCCTGACCTCTGCAGACCTCTGCCTGTGTAGAGAAACTAGAGAACACCCACTCACCTGCCTTCCGAGTGCCCACTCCTCCGCCCTGCCCACCAGCACACACGGCAAGACCTGACTGGCTGGATTTTACCTCCCCCACCCCCCTCCCCCAGTTATGTGTCCTTATCTAAAATCCAAACTTTGTGACCTTTCGTCCTGACTGAGCACGGTCACCTCAGCGTTTCTGCGCTTCGACCTCTCCACGCCCTTCCTGGGCAGAGGCAAAGAGCGCACTGCGCAGGGCCCTAGGCACAGAGCTGAGTTTCGCTGTCCTGGCCGCGCTGGGCATCCTCCCGTCAACCCGCTCGCACCAGTGGGACACTCTGCAGACTCCTTTGGGTCAGGGACCACTTTCGGCCCGTGCAACCGCAAGCTCCTTCCTCGCGCACTTCACAGAGGCACCTAGACCTGCCGTCTGTCACTCATGCCTCCCAGGAATCATGTGATGTGAACTCAGCCAGCAGGTTTGGAAAACAAAGGCCAAGCGTCTCAGAGGCATTTTCAGGGAAAATTTTCAGGATGTCATCAGTCCAGACATTTTGATTACTCATACTCACAGTAATCTTTGGAATATATTTCTCTCTTTTTGTTTGTTTATCTGTTTTTTTGAGATGGAGTCTCGCTCTGTCGCCCAGGACGGAGTGCAGTGGGGAAATCTCGGCTCACTGCCAACTTCCGCCTCCTAGGTTCAAATGATTCTCTCACCTCAGCCTCCTGAGTAGCTGGGATTACAGGCACCTGCCATCATGCCCGGCAAATTTTTGTATTTTTAGTAGAGACGGGGTTTTACCATGTTGGTCAGGCTGGTCTTGAACCCCTGACCTAAGGTGATCCACTTGCCTCGGCCTCCCAAAGTGCCAGGATTACAGGCATGAGCCACCATGCCTGGCCATCTCTTTTTTGAATAACAACCTCCTTAAGGACTGAATTTTACACTGTTCCCTGGCACATGGAAACATTAATTTGCCTCAATTGCTAGACTCTGAGACCCTCCTAACTAGACTATGTGTTCCTTGAGGTTGCATTTTTGGTTTGCCTGCCAAGTAGTGGTGGGTGCTCAATAAATGTTGAATAAATGAACAAATCAACCATCTAGCGAAGCATTTTCGCAAATTTTTGGTCACAGATACAACAGTTCAACTCTTCCCAAATTCCATTACACCAGGACACCTACCGACTGTCCAATCCTTGTTTTGCTGCCCTACTGAAAACTGGGCTTCTGTGAAATAATGGATTTGGTCTGTTTGTGCTTCTCAAGGTAGAAAGGTACTGACACTCATCCAGTGAGAGGCCCCAGGAAATTTCCCTGTATTGCATGATCCAAAGAACCCATGAAGCTCCCTTTCCTCTGCAGGTTCTGATGTGCCTTTCTGAATCATCTAATAGGTGCCTCTCCTTAAACCCAGGTCAGGACACCTTCCATAGTCCTTCTTCTCAAATTCGTCCCCAAATAAAAAGACACTCCTGAGAAAGTTAAACAATAAGTCAGCTTATTAGCCTGCCCCAAAACTTTACAACCACTGCTGGAAAGCTTATACTTGAAAAGCCAGCCCCTGCCCCCTACAATGTCAGCACGTTCTGTCCTGCTCTATTCTGAGCAGGATCACGGGAGTGCAGCCCTTAAAAGGGTGCTCACGTGCCTCAGCTCACCAGGACGAAGCTGGAAAAGCCCCTCCCAGTCTCAAGAGACTTCTTTCATTACAAACTGCCTGTCTGGAAGGTTTAAGTTGGCCAGTGGCTTCCAAGTCACTAAAGAAGAAGGAAAATGAGGGCTGCACTGTTAATTCTGCTCCCAGCTCTCTCCAAGAGGCAGGCATACATGCTGGCACAGACGCTGGCCTCTGAGAGGCCACTGGCCACTCACCTGCAGCTTGTCCCGCTGCCTCGTGTGGGACATGAGAAGGTCTTCTGTGGATAGCATGCTTCTGGGCAGCTCTGTTGTGGCCAGGGAGGCCCCGAATGTCTGCAGCATCTGGACAGTGGTCTTCAAGGTCAAGGCAAAGTTTTCGATGGCCTGGAAGGTCAGATAATTATAACAATGTGGAGAGATTAGCATTCACCAACATGCTCTCTCGATGGAAAGACAGGTGATAAAATTAGTGAATAATCACCTCACCTTGGAAACAGTGTAGAGGACCTATCCTGATAGGGATATTTATTTATTTATTTATTTATTTATTTTTTGAGACGGAGTTTCACTCATGTTACCCAGGCTGGAGTGCAATGGCGCGATCTCGGCTCACCGCAACCTCCGCCTCCTGGGTTCAGGCAATTCTCCTGCCTCAGCCTCCTGAGTAGCTGGGATTACAGGCACGCACCACCATGCCCAGCTGATTTTTTGTATTTTTAGTAGAGATGGGGTTTCACCATGTTGACCAGGATGGTCTAGATCTCTTGACCTTGTGATCCACCCGCCTCGGCCTCCCAAAGTGCTGGGATTACAGGCTTGAGCCACCGCGCCCGGCCTGATAGGGAGATTTATAAAAAGACCCTGGTCTTAGTCTCAACACTGCCACTAGTTGACCAAATGACTTTGGATTTACATTGAACGTCAGTTTATCTACCTGTAAAATAAAGTGATTGAACCACCTGATCTTTAAGATTCCTTTGAGTTCTAACTTTCTGAGTCTCTCGTTCAAAGAGCTGACACCCAGGAGATGCACGGTCACACAGAAATGAATCTACACATCTCACATATAAAACAATATGTACCGTGTATGTGTCATTATGTTATTCCTAGTTATATATACGGGCAAACCTCAAAGCTATTATGGGTTTGGCTCTAGGCCACGGCAACAGAACCAATTACAATACAGTGAGTCACACAACTTCCTTTGTGTCCCATTGCAGATGGAAGTTATATTTACATTACAGTCTATTAAGTGTGCAATAGCATTATGTGTAAAAAATACACATACCTTAATTTTAAAATACTTTATTGTTAAAAAAAAATGCTAACAATCTTCTGGGCCTTCATCAAATCACAATCTTTTTGCTGCTGGAGGGTTGGAGGGTCTTGCCTTCTTGTGGATGGCTGCTGACTGATGCGGGTGACATTTGCTGAAGGCTGGAGTGGCAGTGACAATTTCTTAAAATAAGACAACAATGACATTGTCACATCGATTGACTTCCTTTCATGAAGGATTTCTCTGTAGCATGTGATACTACCCGACAGCAGTTTGCCCACAACAGAACTTCTTTTGGAGTTAATCCTCTCAAACTGTGCCACTGCTTTATAGACTAAGTTTATGGAATATTCTAATTCCTTTGTTGTCATTTCAACAACATCCACAACATCATCACCAGAAAGATGAAGAAATCACTTTTTTTTGCTCATCTGTTAAAAAACAGCTCCTCCTTCGTTGAAGCTTTATCATGAGGTTGCAGCAATTCAGTCACATCTTCAGGCTCCACCCCCAATTCTAATTCTCTTCCTATTTCCACCACCCCTGCAGTTACTTCCCCCACTGAAGTCCTGAAGCCCTCAAAGTCATCCACGAGGGCGGGAATCAGCTTCTCTCAAACTCCTGTTAATATTGGTATTTTGACTTCCTCCCATGAATCACTAATGTTCTTAATGGCATCCAGAATGATGAGTCCTTTCCAGAAGGTTTGCAATTTGCTCCACTCACACCCATCAGAGGGATCACTATGTATGGCAGGAATAGCTTTACAAAATGTATGTCTAAAATCGTAAAACTGAAAGGTGAAATTACTCTTTGATCCACAAGCTGCAGAGTAGAAGCTGCGTTAGCAGGCATGAAAACAAGATTCATCGCCTTGTACATCTCCATCAGAGCTCCCAGGTGACCAGGCACATCGCCAATAAGCAGCAATATTCTGGAAAAACCTTTTTGTCTAAGCAGGAGGTCTCAACAGGTGGCTTCACATATGCAGGAAACCATGCTGTGAACGGAAGTGCTGCCATCCAGGCTTTGATGTTCTATGTACAGCACAGGCACAGTCGGTGCACCATCATTCTTAAGGGCCCCAAAATTCTGTGAGTGGTACATGAGCACTGCCTTCCATTGAAGGTCACCAACTGCATTAGCCCCTAACAAGACAGTCAGACTGTGCTTTTAAGCTTTGAAGCCAGGCGCTGACTTCTCTTCTCTAGCTATGGAAGTCTTAGGTGGCGTCTTCTTCCAAAAAGTCTGTTTCATTGACATTGAAAACCTGTTGCTGAGTATAGCCACTTTCATCAATGATGTTAGTTAGATCTTCTGGATAAGTTGATGCAGCTTCTCTATCAGCACCTTCCACTTGTATGTTACAGAGATGAATTCTTTCCTTACACCTCACAAACCAGCCCCTGCTAGCCTCAGCCTTTTTTTTGAGATGGAATCTCATTCTGTCACCCAGGCTGGAGTGCAGTGGCGAGATCTTGGCTCACTGCAACCTCCACCTCCGGGTTCAAGCAATTCTCTTGCCTCAGCCTCCTGAGTATCTGGGATTACAGGTACATGCCATCACACCTGGCTAATTTTTGTATTTTTAGTAGAGACAGACTTTCACCATGTTGGTCAGGCTGGTCTCAAACTCCTGACCTCGTGATCCCCTGCCTCGGCCTCTCAGTGCTGGGATTACAGGCGTGAGCCACTGTGCCCTGCCCGCTTCAAACTTTTGTTCTGCAGCTTTTTCACTCTCTCAACCTTAATAGAATTGAAGCGAGTTAGGGCCTTGCTCTGGATAAAGCTTTGGCTTAAGGAAATTTTGTGGCTGGTTTGATCTTCCATCCAGGCCCAGACCACTAAAACTTTCTCTGTATCAGCAAGAAGGCGATTTTGCTTTCTTATTATTCATGTATTCGCTGGGGTAGCATTTTTAATTTCCTTCAAGAACTTTTCCTTTGAATTCACCACTAGGCTAACTGGCTAGGCTAAGAGGCCTGGCTTTCTGCCTGTCTCAGCTTTTAATATGCCTTCCTCATTAAGCTTAATCGGTTCAACCTTTTGATTTAAAATGAGAGACAAGCCGTTCTTCCCTTCACTAGAACACTTAGAGGCCATTGTAAGGTGATTAATTGGCCTAATTTCAATATTGTTCTTTCTTAGAGAATAGGGAGGCCTGAGGTGAGGAGGAAAGATGGGTGATGGCCAGTTGGTGGAGCATTCAGAACACACACAACACATAGCCACTAAGTTCACTGTCTCAGATGGGTGCAGTTTTTGGCACCCCAATTCAACAGTAACATCAAAGATTGCTGATCACAAATCACTGTTACAAATACAATGACTGGCTGGGCACAGTGGCTCACGCCTGGAATCTCAGCACTTTGGGAGGCTGAGGCAGGAGGATCACTTGAGGTCAGAAGCTCGAGACCAACATGGTGAAACCCCCATCTCTACTGAAAATACAAAAATTAGCCGGGCATGGTGGTGCATACCTGTAATCCCAGCTACTTGGGAGGCTGAGGTTGCAGTGAGCCAAGACTGCACCACTGCACTTCAGCCTGGGTGACAGAGCAAGACTCTGTCTCAAAAAAGAAATAAAGAAAAAACAAATAATAATAATAAACTTAGAAATATTGCAAGAATTGCCAAAATTTAGCAGAGAGGCACAAAGTGAGCACATACTGATGGGAAAATTGTGTTGATAGACTTATTCAACACAAAGTCACCGCAAAACTTCAATTTTTAAAAACTGCAGTATCTGCAAAGCCTACTAATGTGAAGCATAAGATATGACTGTAAGTGTGTGTCTATAAAACACATACACAGAGCATGCAAAAGGCATAAAAAGAGTATCTCTGGTCTTTCAATACTAGTTGTATTTTTTAAAGTTCACTGTAAAATGTTTGGCACAAGCACAACCACAAACCATGGCTACTAACTAGGCCAGGATGGCCTATAACAAAAACATCTTTGTAAGGTCTTTTAGGCTGGCTGACTGCGCCGTGGACCGCATGGTAACCTCTGTGACCTGCACGTACACCTCCAGATGGGTTCCTTAAAATAGAAAGTCTGAAGTAACTGGAAAACCACAAAAAGGAGAATGACTAACCCCTGCAGTGCCTAATTAACTCTGAGGCATTCTTCTATTGTTCCCAATTCTGGCCTCAACTGATAAGGCAACTGGACTTTGTAACCAAACTTGCTCAAGTGATAGGGCAATTGTGACTCCAGACCCTACAGCCCCCTCTCAGCTTGCAAAAACTGCCCTGAACTGTAACTTCTGTAACTTTCCACAGCCTACTCCAAACCCATAAAACCAACCTCTATCCCACCACCCTCCACTGACTCTCTTTTTGGACTCAGCCCACTTGCACCCAGGTGAATAAACAGCCATGTTGCCCACACAAAGACTGTTTGGGGGGGGGTCTCTTCATTCAGAGCCATGTAACAACTTTAACCTGGGTAATTTATAAGCAACGGAAATTGATTTCTCACAGTTCTGGCAGTTGGGAAGTTCAAGATCAAGACCCCAGCAGATCTGGTGTCTGGTGGAGGTCTGCCCCTCATAAAGAATGCCTTCTATGCCCTCACGGGGGAGAAGGGGCATGACAGTTCCCTTCAACCTCTGTTGCAAGGGCACCAACTCCATTTATGATGCCAGAGCCTTCATGACTTAATATGTCTCAAAGGCCCCCCTCTAAATGCCGTCACATTGGGTACCAACATGTGAATTTTGAGGAGACACCAGCATTCAAGCCATAACAATGTGTTTTGATCTCACTGTTTCCTCAATATTACTGAAACTTCTAACCCAGCATAACAATCACCAATATCAGCAGGTAAGAAAAAGTAAAATACATTTCGAGTCCTTTCACAGACAATATATCACTTATTCCCCACATCACACTTTTGGGAGGCTTTTGTTGGTCCAGGGTTTCTCAGCATTGGCTATGCACATTTTGGGCCAGGTGAGTCTTTGCTGTGGGAGGCTGCCTTGAGCATTGCAAGGTGTTTAGCAGACCCCCTGACCCCTACCCACTAGATACCAGTTAACCTCCCCCCGACTAAGTTATGACTACAAAAAATATCTAAAGATATTGACAAATGTAGGGGGCAGGCAAAATTATCTCCAGTCAAGAAATGCTGTTAGTCCCATTTTAACAGAGGAAGAAACAAGCTCAGAAATGCTTAGTAACTCACCCGACATCAGACAATATGTCATTGTGACAATTTTTTTTTTTTTTTTTGAGATGGAGTCTCACTGTGTTGCCCAGGCTGGGGTGCAATGGCACGATCTCGGCTCACTGCAGCCTCCGCCTCCTGGTTTCAAGCGATCCTCCTGCCTCAGCCTCCTGAGTAGCTGGGACTACAGGCACCCACCACCACACCAGGCTAATTTTTTGCATTTTTAGTAGAGACGGGATTTCGCCATGTTGACCAGGATGGTTTCAACCTCCTGACCTCGGGATCTGCCCACCTCGGCCTCCCAAAGTGCTGGGATTACAGGCATGAGCCACCGTGCCCAGCCAATTTAAAAAAATTAATTTCAACTTTGATTTTAGATTCGGAGGTACATGTGCAGGTTTGTTACATGGATACATTGCATGATGCCGAGGTCTGGGGCACAGCTGACTCTGTCACCCAGGGAGTAAGCAGAGCACCCAATAGTTTTACAACCCTTGTCCCCTTCCCACCTTCCCATCTACAGAAGACCCGAGGGGTGACAATATTTAAATGTGGTTCTTCTGACTTCATCGGTGTCAATATGTCTGTACATTAGAGTCATCTGGGGAGTTCTGTGGCATGTTAATGTCTAAGACCCATCCCAGATGAAGTAAATTAATTTCTCTGAAGTATAACAGGGCACTGGTGTTTCTGGAACCTTCCCAGGTGCATTCAAAGGTAAGTGTCCCCAACCCCCCGCCAGGAGATGCAGTGGGTAAGGTGGTCAACAGGAGAAACCCCAGCCTTTGTCCCTTCCACGCTCCTTCTTCCCTAGACTGTGGCTGAGAAATTCCAGCCATCCCAAGGTCAGGCAGTCTCAGGGTGACCTTCCAGCAGCTGATCTCTAACTGCCCCACCCCATCTTCTGGAAAACAAGGAGAGACAGTGAAAAGCACACATAAGCTGGTACTCACAGTGCGGTGATTTACCCACTGACTGTGGCGATATTCCAAAGTCCCCCCTAATTCCCGAGTCAGCTGGCTTTTGTCGATGTAGCCATGAAGGTCAGAGACGGAGTTTAACAAGATGATCTGTAAAGTAAAAATTTAATTAAACGTATTCCTCATTGATCATTAAATAATACCTCGTTTAGATTCCATTCTTATCATATATATTTTATATTCTATTATTATTTAAATGATACCTCAACTTTGCCTTATCAGGCATTTATATTTAAAAATGGTTCCAGCCAAGCACAGTGGGTCATGCCTGTGATCTCGGCGCTTTGGAAAGCTGAGGTGGGAGAATCATCGGAGGCTAGAGTTTGAGACAAGGCAGAGCACCACAACAAGGTCCATCACTAGAAACATTTAAAAAACCAGCCGGGCATGGTAGCCGGCACCGGTGGCCCCAGCTACTGGGGAGGCCGAGGCAGGAGGGCTGCTTGAGCCTGGGAAGTTAATGCTGCAGTGAGCAGTGATGCCACCATGGCACTCCAGCCTGGGTGACAGAACAAGACCCTACCTTGAAAGAAAAACAAATTCCTCTATCCAGCAGGGAAATATTTCCGTTTCTTTCCAGTTTTCCCTTTTGAATGAGAAATACCCAAGTGTTGCACACCCTGTGACGGAACGTTGGCTTGGCCCAGGGAGCGCAGTTCCAGGCTACCTAGAAGCCAGGTCTCGCTTCATGTGAATTTTTAGTCAAAAGTTCCCAAGCTAAGGTACACTCTTCAGCCGCCAAAATCAAGTATTGTGCTATGGCCTGAAAACCTGCCACGAGAAGCCCAGTCAAAGGTGGTCGGGTAAATATCAAAATAAAATTAGAACACAGGGAAACACACAGAGCATGCATTGAAAAGATTCACTACACTGATGCGCCTCCATGAACAATGTCGATGTGCCCCTACATTAGCTTGCACAGAGGGGATCTGGAGGGAACGGGGAGTCGGTTTTATAAACCAGCAATTCAGCCCATGAGCAAACACCCAGAGGGCTGCATCCAGAGGAGGCTGACGCATCCCAAACTGCCCCCTTGCCTTGCATGCAGAAACTCCAGGAGAGGCTCTGGCCTCTGCCTCCTTCCTCGGCCTCCTGACCAAGGCTGGTGCGTCCCCAGGGGCCCGTGTGGTGTGAGGTGAGCCCTACGTCTAGGACATGTGAATATAATAAACCTCTTCCTTCCAAACCTGGTTTCTCCTGTGGCTCCGCCGACTTCACCATACATGCATATTCTTAGAACAACTGTTATAAGCTAAAAAGTCTTGTTTTTTCCCTTTTCTGCATATATTTGTATTCTTATCTATAGATGCTTAAAACTGCTTTTTCAAAGAAATACACGATCTTTTAACTGCACAAGAAGAATTTCCTGTATTCTGACACAAACTCCATTTTAAGTAACCAATTTCCACGATCATAGCCTCTTTAGGGGGTTTGCAAGACTGCCTTGGTGACTTCACATTAATAGTCTTGTGAGGCTGCTACGCGTACGGCTGATCCAGAATAGGGGAGTGCCTGGCCAGCAACAGGGACTCAGAACACGTTTGCTGGGAGGCCATGGTGAGAGGATCACTTGAGCCCAGGAGGTTGAGGCTGCAGTGAGTCATGGTGGTGCAGTGCTCTAGCCTGGGTGACAGGGCAAGACTCTGTCTCAAACAAAACAAAACAAGAACCATTTACTACATCAAAGTACTTCCCCTCCATACGCAAAGGTAGAGAGAGACTGCCACTTGACTACAATTACATCCCTGGCCCACCTGATTCCTGTACCCGTCATGCAAAATAAACTTTACTCCCCTACCCGTGAAAATATAATCATCTAACTATAAATGAGCAGGAAGACGTAATAATAAGAGAGGCTAGGAAGCTCCAAAGTAAAGTGTTAATATCACAACCACGTTTTAAAAATAAAGAAGATAAATGGACAATTTGAACTGTCGTTAAGAAGGCAACACGTATTTTCAAGATAGATTTCATCGAGCTTGGTAACTTCAGACTCTGCCATTCTGGAGCATCAGCACTACCAGGGAGCGTGATTTTGTGCATCAGGTGAAATGGTAACTTACAGGGTAAACCTGCACTCAAGAATGCCCTACTCAGTGTACCCAGGGTTTGGGTGACTGAGAGCTTTTTCAAAAGTTGATTATGGCCGGGCACAGTAGCTCATGCCTATAATCCCAGCACTTTGGGAGGCCAAGATGGGCGGAGTTCTAGACCACCCTAGCCAACATGGCAAAACCCCATCCCTACTAAAACTACAAAAATTAGCTAGGTGTGGTGGTTTGTGCCTGTAATCCCAACTACTCGGGAGGCTGAGGCAGGAGAATCACTTTAACCCAGGGAGCAGAGGTCACAGTGAGCTAAGATCATGCCACTGCACTCCAGCCTGGGCAACAAGAGCAAAAACTCTGTCTCAAAAGGAAAAAAAAAAAGTTGATTTTAAGTTTAAAATCAAAAGGAGGGCAGGTAGGGAATTAACATACACTACTACAAATAGAAGCAGCTGAAGTCGGAGTATGGAGACATTCAGTCCCTTCACAGTGTTGACGTGCCCTGTGAAGAGGAGGGCAGAAGTCACAAACGTGTGTACATACGAGCACTCCTAGATCATACGTATAATATGTACAAAACACACGCGTTTTATATGCAATCAGGAAAATATGTATGACATTTGGCCGAATGCTCAGTTCCAACTCCAGATGTTTTTGAGTGGCAAGAAGAATTGATGAGTCTTCATTTCTGAAGGGGAGGCAGATGCAAAATGACGACGACAAGTCACTGGCTGCTTGTGGGTCACCACCTCCTCCCAAACATCAACTGTTACTGACGTGAGGAAAGCTGAGCAAGGAACTCAGTCCTCACATTTTCCTTAAACACGCAAGGATTTCAAAATGAGTATTTACAATAGAATGGGAAATCCATTTTGAGTTCAGCTAATCCCCAAAGTATGAGAGAAAGGATTTTCAGAAATTTGATTATTAATATAAGATGGAACCAAAACAAGAAAAATTAAAGTAAGAAAGGAGAGAGAAAAATGAGAAAAATCCCTTGTCTAAGATGGTAAGCCTTCACTGAGATGGGTTAAATATTCTTTCAGAGTATGTATGTATGTATGTATGTATGTATGTGGGTATGTATGTAGGTATTTATTTATTTATTTATTGAGACAAGGTCTTGCTCTGTCGCCCATGTTGGAGTGCAGTGGTGCAATCTCAGCTCACTGCAGCCTCTGCCTCCTGGGTTCAAGCGATTCTCCTGCCTCAGCCCCCCAAGTAGCTGGGACTACAGGTGCACATCACCATGCCCAACTAATTTTTGTATTTTTAGTAGAGATGTGGTTTTGCCATGTTGGCCAGGCTGGTCTCAAACTCCGGACCTCAGATGATCCGCCCACGTTGGCCTCTCAAAGTGTTGGGATTATAAGCCACCACACCCAGCCCCCTTTCAGAGTAATTTTAATTAAAGCTACTTTTTGTTTCTTTTGAATAGATAATATTTATAGATAGTAATAAATTTGAACAGAAAAAGTCTATCTAAATAGAAAAATCTTCCCACCTCCCACTTACCACCAGCCATCTAGGTGGAGATCCAGAAGGCAAACACTTTTAACCAGCTTTTTGTGTATCTTGTGTATCCTTCTCAAAATGATCAATGCACAATCATACATACAGGCCTCTTATTTTACCCAAATGGGAACCTACCGGAGATATGGTTCTCCCCTTGACGTTACCCCCACTTAAATATACATCTTACATGGGCTGAAATTTAAGGTATCAGTATGAACTTACGATTTCTAGAATATTTGTAATTACAAATATGTACACGTATATGTGCATAAACATGCATACATTCACAGCTTCTGTCTGCTGAAAACAAAGATACCAAGTAACAGCACACCTTGCATCCAGATCTTGGACTCTAATACTACTCAACACCAAAAGGAGCCAGGGCTCTGGACAGAAATGGCCAGTAACAAAGCTGCATCACAGCATGCATGAGAGGGGCCTAGATGCTCACATCAGGCCAGAAACGAAGGAAGTGCTAACAAAAGCCATGATAGAGACATGTCACAAGCACACAGGCCTCAGCCTGAGGGGGTTCCCACTGGCCAAATCTGGGACAGCTGGAGCACCACAATAATTAAGAACAACAGGGCCAGGTGCGGTGGCTCACGCCTGTAATCCCAGCACTTTGGGAGGCCGAGGCAGGAGGACCACCTGAGGTCAGGAGGTCGAGACCAGCCTGGTCAACATGGTGAAACCCCATCTCCACTAAAAATACAAAAAACATTTTTTATTTTTTTGAGACTCAGTTTTGCTCTTGCTCCCCAAGTTGGAGTGCAATGGTGTGATCTCGGCTCACCGTAATCTCCACCTCCCAGGTTCAAGCCATTCTCCTATCTCAACCTCCCAAGTAGCTGGGATTATAGGCGTTAACCACCATGCCCCGCTAGTTTTGTATTTTTAGTAGAGACGGATTTCTCCATGTTGGTCAGGCTGGCCTTGAACTCCTGACCTCGGGTGATCCGCCCGCCTCAGCCTCCCAAAGTGCCGGGACTACAGACGTCAACCACCGAGCCCAGCCTGAGACTGAACTTTCTTAAGGAGTAGGATATTTGCATGGTCTTAAAGTGTCTCTGCAAAGATTATTAGTTGCAAGGGAAAGCATCTATTTAGTATTTGGGAAAGTGGAAACATTTTGATTAGGGGGTCAACATTCACATCACCATAGATAAGTACCGTGGGACTCCAGGCGATATGCTTAAGTGGCATAAAAGACAAAGAAAGGGCCGGGCGTGGTGGCTCATGTCTGTAGTCTCAGCCCTTTGGGAGCCCGAGAGTTTGAGACCAGCCTGGGCAACATGGTGAAACTCCATCTCTACAAAAAAATCCAAACATAGCCAGCAGGGCGGTGCAGCGGCGCTACCCTGGCTCACGGCAATCTCCGCCTCCTGAGTTCAAGTGATTTCCCTGCCTCAGCCTCCCGAGTAGCTGGGACTACAGGTGCGCACCACCATGCCCAGCTAATGTTTGTATTTTTAGTAGAGACAGTATTTAAGCATGCTGGCCAGGATGGTCTCAATCTCCTGACCTTGTGATCCCACCTCAGCCTCCCAAAGTGCTGGGATTACAGGTGTGAGCCATCGGGCCTATTTTCTTTTTTAAGACAGAGTCTCTTTGTCTTCAGTTTCTTAGTCTTTCTTCCAAAAGATTACTGTCCCATATCCTGACTGGGTGGCGTTACATGTCTATATACATTCATCAAAATGAATTGAATTGTATCCTTCAAATGTAGGCACATTAGTCGTGCAAATTATCATTCTTCTTTTTTTATTTCAAACTCACAGAAAAGCTGCAAGAATAAGAACAGCACAAAGAACATCACAGGCCCGCTATCCAGTTTCCTATGTCACCCCTGTATGTTGGATCTGCGTTTTGTTTCACCTGTACAATTTGGCTTCCTTCCAAGTGTCTTTCTATCACCTCAGACGCCACCTTCAGACTAATTTTACCATGCCACTCCCCACCTAGAAAACCTTCCCTGGATCTCCAGTGCCTACCGAATAAAATCCAAACCCTGCGTCCTCACACTGAAGATCGACTCCATGTTTCTTACTCTTTCTTCCGGAAGATTACTGTTTTTGAACTTTAACAGAAATGAAGCTTCCCATGGGCCTTAGTAAGACATGTACTTCCTGCCTCTGTGCCTTCACACGTGTAGGTCCCTTAGCCCAGAAAATCCTTTTCTCCCTCTCTCCCTGTTGAATCTTACCTTTCCCAGAGACCCTGCCCAAATGCCATCTTTGCCAGATGCCCTAACCAAATGAGGCAAGATGAAAGGTCATGCTTACCGGCACCTTTGTTTTAAATTCGTTTCGATAGTATTTAATGCCAATGTCAGTGAATGTCCTCTGGATAAAGCGAGATGGACGAAGGATGAATATGAGCTGTAAGTTTCCTGGAAATGCCACCTGCAAGCATCAATGAAAAGTGTCAGGAAAGAGACAAAACGCCACATCCATTACCAGGATCTACTTTGGTCTCCCTTTACCCAAGATCACAGGAGGAGAAGCTAAAATGGGTGCCGCGGTTGTAAATTTCACCAGATTTCAGGGCTGAAAAAGACCTCAGAGGTCAGATAATCCTAACCCCTCCTGAAAACCCAAAGGAAACTAAACAAGGAAAAATGTTTTCTGTTTATAAAAATAATTCTATAATTTATAGAAAAGTTGGGAAATTAATAAAAGTATGTATTAGAAAGTGAAAACTCACTCATGGGTTTTCATTGCTATACTTAGTATTTCCATCTATTTACTTACAGAATGTAAATAGAATGTTTCCTCTGTTTAAATATCTTTCTCATGGTTAAGCTCATATTATTAAAATATTTTGTAACCTGCCTTTTCACTTAATATTATACCACAGGCTTTTGTTCCTGTTATTAATAAATTCTTTGAAAATATTATTTTTTTAACCAATCCCTTGTTGTTAATTATTTTGGCTTTTTGATAATTTTGCTATTGTAAGTAATACTGAAATGAACACCTTTAGCCACACCTTGGAATATTTTCTTAGGCTATATTTGTAGAATAATTACTGAATCAAACAGTCAAATTTTTAAGCATTCTTGATGTATATTATTGCTAAGTTGCTTTTAAAAAGTGTTGCCCTCACCAGGCGCGGTGGCTCAAGCCTGTAATCCCAGCACTTTGGGAGGCCGAGGCGGGTGGATCACGAAGTCAAGAGATCGAGACCAGCCTGGTCAACATGGTGAAACCCCGTCTCTACTAAAAATACAAAAATTAGCTGGGCATGGTGGCGTGTGCCTGTAATCCCAGCTACTCAGGAGGCTGAGGCAGGAGAATTGCCTGAACCCAGGAGGCGGAGGTTGCGGTGAGCCGAGATCGCGCCATTGCACTCCAGCCTGGGTAACAAGAGCGAAACTCCGTCTCAAAAAAAAAAAAAAAAAAAAAAAAGTGTTGCCCTCATCTCAAGGCAAGCTTCTGAGCAATGAGATAGTCCAGATTCATGAAATTGCTTAGGGGCAAACTTAGGAACCCAGGTCTGCATGGGAATTGCCATAGCTTTCCGTTCTTCCAGTGGTTCCCCAAAGCAACCTCCTACAGGGCTTTTTATTTTCAAATCAGGTCTTTATTCCAGACTATTTTGATTCATTAGGACTGGGATGGAATCTAGGCATTTTCATGAGCACTTGAAGACATTCTGGCAGGCGGCCAGATCTGGGGATCCCCCCCACTTTAGCATGTTTTACGTAAGAAGTGATCAATGTAATTCTGGGACACATTAGGGTCAGATATTAGATTGCTCATGTGTTATGTGTGGACCCTGGAAAACCAGAACTCTCTAGAGGCCAGACCTCTGGAATAGTCATGGGCATCAACCATGGCTGCAGTTATCCCAAAGAAATCCCACATCCAAAACTAAGCTAAAGGGGGGAACAGTCGCTGCCGCAGTGGGAGAACTCCCTTCCTCACTTTAAACCTCGGCTCCTAATCGAAGCACCTTGCGCTGTGTTGTGCCAAGACAGAAGGTCTCAGCCGAGACGTGATCTGTGTGTTCGGATGCGGCTCTAGAGCAACCTGAGAGGGACTCGGTGTGTGCGCACGTTTGCACGTGTGAGTCCTGGAAGCAGGTTTAGGTGGTGCACATGTCCCTCTTGTGTCCTGCCTCCTGCTCATGCTCTCCCACTCTACCACATCCATCCTCTTTAGCCAGTCCCAACTGCCCCAGAGAGACTATGCTCGGGCAAAAATGCTGGCTTAGCTGGCCCGAAGGTGTCTCTGCTTGTGGCGGAGTTCACAAGTCTGAGGTCCCTACAGAGGAAGGACACATCTACTTGCTGAAAGACAAAAAGCAGGGATCAAAATCAGACTATAACGAAAAGGAGGCCAATCCAAGGAGATATAATTTAATGCTGAATGCAAGCACGCCTCCCACCATGCTGCTTAAGTATCGTTGTGTCTGGTTTTGCCACTGTCTTTCTAATAAGAAGAAATAATTTGGCCAGGCACAGTGGCTCACGCCTGTAATCCCAGCACTTTGGGAGGCCAAGGTGGGTGGATCACTTGAGGTCAGGAGTTCGAGACTAGCCTGGCCAACATAGTGAAACCCAATCTCTACCAGAAATACGAAAATGAGCTGAAGTGGTGGCACATGCCTGTAATTCCAGCTACCTGGGAGGCTGAGGCAGGAGATTCGCCTGAACCTGGGAGGCGGAGGTTGCAGTGAGCTGAGCCACTGCACTCCAGCCTGGGCGACAGAGTGAGACTATGTCTCAATAATAATAATAATTTGAATACTGAAATAAAGACTGTCTTAAATTGAATCGCCCCCCAAAGCAAATCCTCAGACAAGGATTTAAGTCCAAGTAGTTTGTTGGGGAAGTGATTCCAGGAAGCACGAATGAGGGAGCGGAGGGAAGACAAGCATAGAGTGCCCGCATGTCGGTGAGGGATTACTGCGCAGGCGGAGGGGCGGAGACCCTCGGGGATACGGTGCTGGACACACCTCAAAACCGTCCCAGTGCAGGGACGGAAGCTGGGCTGTTTATCTACCAAATCCTTTAACTCAATGGTCACAGGTTACCCCCGGGACATTCACTTCCCAGCACTTCCCACCTGCCCCTCTTCAGTGAGCAGAGAAGTCAGTAAGGCAGAGAGCCTTAGGAAGTCTTGACATGCTCAGAATTGTTTGCAGGGGACCTGCAGATGGCAGAGGAGATAGGGATGTGGCATACAGCACCTGTTACAAAGACCTTCCCAAAATTTGACATAAAAATAACTGCCTCGGCCGGGCGCGGTGGCTCACGCCTGTAATCCCAGCACTTTGGGAGGCAGAGGCGGGAGGGTCACCTGAGGTTGGGAGTTTGAGACCAGCCTGACCAACATGGAGAAACCCCGTCTCTACTAAAAATACAAAATGAGCCGGGCATGATGGTGCGTGCCTGTCATCCCAACTACTCGGGAGGCTGAGACAGGAGAATCGCTTGAACCCGGGAGGTGGAGGTTGCAGTGAGCCGAGATCGCGCCACTGCACCCAGCCAGGGGGATGAGAGTGAAACTCTGTCTCTAAATAATAGTCATCATAATTGCCTTTTCCCCAGGACTTTGATATGAAATAGGTGACCAGACAATTTAAGTGACTTTTATAATAATAGCACAAAAATAAATATTTACAGCTATTCGTGTCAAGGACGCCTTCACGGAGCTCCACTTGTCTCTTCGTCTGTCGATAACAACAACGAATCCAATGCTGGCAGCCTCCACGCTGCAAAGAAGGGTGGTCAGTGTCAGAGATCAGGTGTGACCCATGCGCTCCCCAGGGCTCCCACAGCAGAATCCGCCCTGCAGCTTCTACAGCACTCCAGGCTCACCGCGTAAACACCCTACACGGCACAGTCAGCTCCCTCTCCCAGACTGAGCCTGGGAATCTTCACACAATAGATACTGTCCTCAGACCCTCACAAGGAGTCCCTTTCGGGCTGGCCAATGCATGAAACACCCAAGAAACACATGTGTTCAAGTCCAAAGGAATATGCACATATCAGGTGAGCCTCACATGTCCCCAGTGTAGGCGGAGGACCTCAAGGCTGAGCTCTGCCATCCTTCCACTCCCAAAGCAGACATTCACGGAGCTATCAATACAGTAAAGTGCTCAGCTATCAATCCTGGAGGTGTTGGGAGATAATACATGTCAGCGGGAAAAAGGACCCTATGCAGGGCCGGGCTATAAATAGGCCAACAGACCATACGCTTGAGAAGACATCACTGTCACAAAGAGCAAAAGGATGCTGTTTGCTCCCCTCTCAAGTCCTCACGAAACTCACAGGATCCTTCTAAAGTAGAATTCTAAAAGTGAAAACATTTTTCTTCTCTTCTTTAGGAAGAAGCGTGGTACAGGGGAAAGAGCAAGGGCTTTGGAGCCTGGTTCAAACCCCAGTGTCGCCACTTCCTACCACTGACACTCAGGAGTTCACCTGACTTCTAAAATTCAGTTGTCTGCTCTGTAAAATGAGAACAATATGACCAGTCATGACACGGTTAAAAGCACCAATTCTGGAACCAACCTGACTAGACTTGAATTCCAAATTCTATTTATATATTGTGTGTGCTTTTGGGGGTCTGAGGGGTAGTTACCTAACCCCTATAGTTTCTTGGGCTATTCATTTGTAAAGCAAAAATTATAAAATAGTACCTATCTATGAGGTCGATGTAAGGATTAAGTGTGTGTGTGTGTGTGTGTGTGTATATATATAATGCTCAGAACAATATATATACACATATATACATATATATACAGTTTTGAGCATTTTGTTTGTACATATATTTGTACATGTACACATACATACACACATGCACACACGTACACATATACGTACACATATGTACACATGTGCACACCTACATATATGCACACATACGAGTATATGTACACACGTGTACATGTGTGTGCATGTACATATATGTATATGCACATATATGTGCATGTTCGTATATGTGCATGTGTATATGCACATGAGTGCGTGTGTACGCGTGTGCACATGCACATACATGTACATGTGTGCACATATGTATGTGCACATATATGTACGTGTGTGTATATATGTACACAAACGTGCATGTGTGTGCATAATGTGCATGTGTGCATATACATGCATATGTACACAGGTACATAGATGTTTGCACAAACATGTAAAATGCTCAGAACAATGGCAGGCACTTGGTAATGTTTATGTACTACTATTCTTTCTTTTCTCCACTTCTATTATTGTGTCTTATGTGCTTGCCACAAAGATTAAAAGAGATATAGTACATGAAAAGTGGTTGGCCCATAATAAACCTTCAATACCTCTCTAATATTGGGTAAAAGGTGGATTTTACCCTAAAAATGTGCGTATATGTGAATGAGGCAGAAGGTCTAAGCAAAACCTGCAAGAAAACATAAGTAGCTAATCTCAGGTAAGCATCAGTGGGTTAATCAGTTCTCACAGCCCCATACTGACCCAAGTTATCTCGCTGGGGAAATTTTCCAGGACAGCGCAAGGAGTGGTCTAACTAGGTGGAAGAGGCTGAGACTGGAGATTATGAATGCAAAGGTACCCAGGATTTGTAGGGGCAGCTGTCAAACCACCAGTGAAAACAGACATTATCTTCAGAAGAACATCATTAAAAAATAAGGGGCGGGGCACGGTGGCTCACGCCTGTAATCCCAGCTCTTTGGGAGGTCGAGGCAGCTGGATCACGAGGTCAAGAAATCGAGACCATCCTGGTCAACATGGTGAACTCCGTCTCTACTAAAAATACAAAAATTAGCTGGGCATGGTGGTGCATGCCTGTAGTCCCAGCTACTCAGGAGGCTGAGGCAGGAGAATTGCTTGAACCCTGGAGGCAGAGGTTGCAGTGAGCCAAGATCACGCCATTGCACTCCAGCCTGGGTAACAAGAACGAAACTCCGTCTCAAAAAAAAAAAAAAAAAAAAAAAAAAAAAAAGACTGACTTTTCAATACAAACTAGGGAAGCTGCTATTCAATGGACTGATATCTTTAAGAAAAAACTCCGTTTAAAATTCCATACCCACTGAAAATTCATTTTAAAAATGAAAGTAAAGACATTTCCAGACAACTAGAGGTGAGAGAATTTATTGTCATTAGAAAATGGAGGTTTAGCTGCTGTTTAGAAGACGTTCACTCTTATCAAAAACAAAACACTGGTAGATTTAAAAGCTCATATTTTTCCTTAAATATGAGAGAACTCTGACGACAAAGAAATATAAATGAACAAATTCCAGAGAGACTTAAGACCTTCCCTAGAGAGCAAATACTAGGGGTGACTTTTATATAAAGTGATGATTGCCTATTCTGGGAATAGGCAGGCAAATGAATTAATCTGAAGGAAAATAATCTAACATGGTAACTTGGATCTGCAAGAAGGAATGAAGAGTCATGTAAATGTTAAATATCTGGATAAATATTATCAACTATGTTTTTTATTTCACTGAAACCTGACTAATCAAAGCAAAAATAACAAAGTATTATTATAAAATAAACTATGTCACAACAATAGCATTAAGAATTGAATGGAGTAAGTAAAATTACTTTTACTTACTATTAGCCAGCCACGGTGGCTCATACCTGTAATCCCAGCACCTTAGGAGGCCAAGGCAGGAGGATCGCTTGAGCTCAGAAGTTCAAGACCAGCCTGAGCAATGTAGCGAGACAATATCTCTACTAAAAATTTAAAAAATTAGCTGGGCATGGTGGCTTGTGCCTGTAGTCTCAGCTCCTCAGCAGGTTGTTGCAGGAGGATTGCTTGAGCCCAGGAGACACACTGGGCTGAAAAAAAAAAGGACTATTAAAACTAGTATTGGATGAAATTAAACTATACTATTTATATTGTATAGAAAGTGCTATGAAATTAATCCCAGGTAAATGTGCTAATTTAAAAACATATACTGTAACATTAGGAAATAACTGCTAAAAACTTAATAAAGAAGATAAACAGAATACTGAAAATATTTGAATAATTCAAAAGAAGGTAGAAAAGGAGAAATAAAGGAACAAGTCACAGATGGGCAGATTAAAACTCAAGCATCTTAATAATCACATTAATTGGAAATAAGCTGTAACATGGCATTTAAAAGGCAAATAGCCACTGCAAAAACACACCAAAATGTAAAGACCACGGACACTATGAAGAAACAGCATCAACTAATGCGCAAAATAACCAGTCAGCATCATAATGACAGGATCAAATTCACACATAACAAAATAAACCTCAAATGTAAATGGGCTAAATGCCCCAATCAAAAGACACAGACTGGTAAGTTGGATAAAGAGTCAAGACCCATTGGTGTGCTATATTCAGGAGACGCATCCCATGTGCAAAGACACACATTGGCTCAAAATAAAAGGATGGAGGAATATTTACCAAGAAAATGGAAAGAAAAAAAAAAAGCAGAGGTTGCAATCTTAGTCTCTGATAAAATAGACTTTAAACTAACAAAGATCAAAAAAGACAAAGAAGGGCATTACATGACAGTAAAGGGATCAATGCAACAAGAATAGCTAACTATCCTAAATACACATGCACCCAATACAGCAGCACCCAGATGCATAAAGCAAGTTCTTAGAGACCTGCAGAGAGACTTAGACTCCCACATAATAATACTGGGAGACTTTAACACACCACTGTCAATATTTGATGGAGACAGAAAATTAACAAGGATATTCAGGACCTGAACTCAGCTCCAGATCAAGTGAACCTAACAGACATCTACAGAACTCTCCACCCCAAATCAACAGAATATATATTCTTCTCAGCATCACATTGTATTTATTCTAAAATCGATCACATAATTGGAAGTAAACACTCCTCAGCAAGTGCAAAAGAACAGAAATAATAACAAACAGTCTCTCAGACCACAGTGAAATCAAATTAGAACTCAGGATTAAGAAACTCACTTAAAACTGCACAACTACATGGAAACTGAACAACCTGCTCCCGATTAACTACTGGGTAAATAATGAAATTAAGGCGGAAGGAAATAAGTTCTTTGAAATCAATAAGAAGAAAGACACAACATACCAGAGGCTCTGGAGCACAGCCATAGCAGTGTTTAGAGGGAAGTTTATAGCACTAAATGCCCACATGAGAAAGTAGGAAAGATCTAAAATCAACACCCTAACATCACAATTAAAAGAACCAGAGAAGCAAGAGCAAACAAATTCCAAAGATAGCAGAAGACAAGAAAGAACTAAGTTAAGAGCAGAACTGAAGGAGATCGAGACACGAAAAACCCTTAAAAAAAAAAAAAAATCAGTGGATCCAGGAGCTGGTTTTTTGAAAAGATTAACAAAATAAACTGCTAGCCAGACTAATGACGAAGAAAAGAGAGAAGAATCAAATAGACACAATAAAAAATGACGAAGGGGAGATCACCAGTGATCCCACAGAAATAGAAACTACCATCAGAGAATACTATATACACCTCTATGCAAGTAAACTAGAAAATCTAGAAGAAATGGATAAATTCCTGGATGCAAACACCCTCCCAAGACTAAACCAGGAAGAAGTCAAATGCCTGAATAGACCAATAATAAGCTCCAAAACTGAGGCAGTAATTAATAATCTACTACATTAAAAAAAAAAAAAAAAAAAAAAGGCCAGCACCAGACAGATTCACAGCCGAATTCTACCAGAGGTACAAAGAGTAGCTGCTACCATTCCTTCTGAAACTATTCTGAACAGAAAAAGAGGAAATCTTCCCTA